AGGCAAATAAAAATATAACAAAAACTTTCCCATTCATATTTTTTAATTTACACATTTTTAGTAATGTACAAAATTCCAACAGTCTTTTTATCTTTTGCCTCCCACTCTTGGTGCAGATTTCTGCATGGGCCTGGCTGCCTTAGTTTTTTGAGCTGCAACTTTAGGTGCAGAAGTCTGGAAAAAACAATGCAGAATAAAAATATAGAATATGTTTATTAATAGAAATGTCCTTTTTTCCTACACTTTTGCATTATTTACATTTCATTTACAAAGTAAAACATTTAAAAAATTATCAGATATAAATTTAACAGGATCAGTTTAACAATAAGATGGCAGTACCTTTTTAGCAGAATCCTTTGCTCTTTGTTTTTCTTTAGCAGCTCTGTAATGAAAAAATAGCTCAAATGTAAATATTGTAAACATGTTTACTGAAGGAATAAAGCCAATTAAAAATAAGTATAACACAAATGCATGCAAAGACTGTCTTTTTTGATCCACCTCATGCCACATTTAACATCACCTTGCCTCTTTCAAACTCCTTAATCTACACCAGATTTTCCATTTTTCATTGTTTCCTTGATAGATTACATATGAGCAAACTACATAAAATCATTTACCATGAAGATAGTTCCCTATTCCAAAGTCCCATTTGGATATATACTAAAAAGACTTATGGTAAAAGGAATTCACATTTTTCTTACCTGATGGCCTGTTCTCTCTGGGCCTTCCTCACTTCAGGCTTCTGGTTTTTCTTTGCCATAATATCTGTCAAACTGGTACCAGCAATAGCACGCTGAAACTTGGCTGTGCGTCTGGTTCTCTTCTTAGAGACTTCCTCAGTCTGGCCCTTCTTGTGCTTGCGTCTGTAAAGCACAGTCCAGTTGATCTTACGAGGGTTTCGCTTCATCAAATGAGACCGCTCACATTTTGCATTCAAAAAGATGGTGACCTGGTAAAATTTTGAAGTGGATGTGAGAACATGAATAGTAGTATAATTCGAAGGAAAATGCACTTCTCTCTAGTTGCCTGCAAATCTAGTACTTGCAAGAAAGAAAGTGCATTCCAAGTAGTAGACCCACCCCCATACCATTCCCTATTCTAATTCTCTACTCGAGTCAAATTAATGAGCAACTATTGACATAATCTAAGCACATGATCGTAACTGAGTTGTAACAAACTGTCATGACAAGAGAGCGATGCTAAGAAAATAAAAACATATCCGTCACTGCCGAATTTAGACAGTGGTGTATTGAAGTGTGGAACTACCGGTTCCGTAATTTTGACTTGCGTTAGATTGTTAACAAATGGTTTACGCAGATTATTTGGCTATCTGCAACGATTACTGGGGAGATATATGAACTAATAATATTTTTTACCTTGCCATCAGCCTTAACAACACGTCTTCCATGGCCAGGGTATATTTTGTACCCGCTGAAGGCACAAAGTTCGAGCCTGTAATTAAAATTAATATTTATGAAACGAAAGTATACATATCAGTTTAAACTAAAATTAGCTTGGCGTCTTAGGATGCCGATGATTATTTGGTGATATATCTGGATTTCTACCGATATATCTTAAAGTTGGACTTACTTCATGATGGCGGAAACGGAAAAGGACTGCCTCAGTGTATTATGGGTATGTCTTTGCTTACCACGACTCGACAACAAACAGTATTTGATTGGGTCAATGCGCTACTCACCTAATCAAAGAAAGGATAACACCAAAAAGCTAAGCGGGAAAGTTCAAATGAATAAAAATGGCCGCTCAGGGTAAGTATAACAAATAATATGAGACACCTTTTTTTTCGTAAATTTTATTATTTTCACTAATAGTGTTTCTCTCGAATTGGCGCTTGTACGTTAAAGAGAAGCTGAGCCCATAAAAAAGCATAAATGCACAGATTCAGAAAAAAAAAAGGTTGGCAAAACGAGATGCTAGATCTACTTTTGATGATGATCTATCAGAGCGGTCAACTCTTTTTCAGCAATTTCACATCAACTATTTTTTTTATTGTAAATATTAAAAAAATTGGGAAAGAGATCTTGTTATATTCCTGCATCATAACACCCACTTTGTTACTTTTTTAATTATCTCCTCACATCATTACTCCCCTTACACGCAAAATTATGATTATGTTTCTCCCTCATTGTGTGTTTTCTTTTTTAATGGTGATTAAAACTTTCAGGTACATTTATTTACAGTAACAGGTTAATTGTGTGTTTTCCTCACAGACTAGTGTATGCTGTGGCAGTTCAGAGTACTCTCACAACTTAAATTGTTTTGGGGTAGCTGCTAGCAAATTTATGTCCCTTTTTAACCAGTGAGGAGTACCAGTAACATTGTGGGATATAGTAACAGTGTGAGGGTGAAATGATAATAAGGATTTAACCTGGGGGAGTAACAATGTGGGGTGGTAAAGGTTTGGGGAAGTGATGCTGGAGGATGAAGCCAGGGTTAATGCAGTGTCTTCCAAAGCCTTTAAGTAGCACATTTCTTCTTTTTATGGCATAGTAGGACTTGTACATCTTCATTAATAGAAAATCTGCTTCAATTTGTTTGGTCATCATGATGCTATAGCTCTTTTTCTTGTGTGTAGATATTTTTAATTGAATACTATTGACCTTTTGTACATAACCTACATGCTGTCCACTCAGATCAGTGGCTGATAAACAGTTTAGAAATAAGATGTAATTTTTTAATGGTAAATTAATATTTGTTGTAGACTGCTAAAATCTCATGTTATTTTCTTTATTGGTGGTGTTGATACAAAATAGAGCTATGTAACAGCTGGAATGGCCTGCATTTGAATTAAGTTATTATTATTATTAGTATTATTATTATTATAAATTTCAGAAGTACTAGATTTGAGTCAAGAAGGACTACATAAGATGGAAGTTGTAGCTGGAGCCAATCCAATAACAGTCATCTACGACAAAAATGAAATATCCAAAATTGAAAATTTGGAAAAATATCAACGTCTCCAACAGGTATATACATTTAATTGGATAGTTTTTTCAAGAAAAGGGAGGTTTTGCTGTTGGCAAATACAAAGTGTTAAAGGCTTGTTCATCCTTCTTACTACTTTCATATTGTAGGGTGGTTTTGGTGACAGGTCATGGTGTTTTATTTCTGAAGATGGCAGGGGTGAAAAGGAATGGTATTTTGATAATGTAATTTAACTTTTTAAACATGCATCAAATGAATATGAATTGGTACATGATATTTTTGAAGATTTTTCAATTTCAAAATCTTTTTAACCTGCAATGACCACTACAGAAGACATGGTCATGGTAAGTATAGTGTGAGAATGTAGTTCTCCATTTCTGAATTTCTTTAACTGTGAGCCTCAGTTGTGCATTAAGTATCAAACTAGTGGTATAATGATGCTGAGGATACTTTTTATTATTATGTAATTTTGATATATTTCAGCTTTCTGCCTCCAATAACAGGATTGTTCATATGACTGGAGTAGCCAAGCTGCACAATTTGACTGTGTTGAATCTACCAAATAATAGCATTATTACCATTGAAGGTAAGTATGGTAAAAGAGAGTATTTACATGCATCAAAAATACTCAAAAGTTATCTTCATGTGGTAGTATACTAAAACTGTTCTTGAAAGAGAAAAGATTTCTCTTATCAATAATGGCTGATTAGAAGAAATAGTTACATACAGTGTTTCATATATATTTAATGTAATTTAAATTTTTCCTTTTTTTCAGGTCTGAGGATGTTAACCAAACTAACTTGGCTGAATCTTTCAGGAAATAGCATCAAGGTGATTAGTTGGAGTGTACAGTTTGAAAATATGGATATTGTTAGGAAGAACTGGGCGATAATGGCAACAGTGACAAACACAGTTTTTTTGAAATGCCACTAAAATTTGTCATGTAATAAAGAAATGCTGAATTAGGTTTATAATTGTTTCAAACATGACACATGAATGTGTTTCACCTAGATACCCTATTCTGAAAAACTGTTCTTTAAGGAATATTTATTTTCACCACTATATATAATATACTTGTTACAAGTTTCTCATTCTTCTTCAGCACATTGACCACCTGAGTACTAATGTCAACCTGTGCCACCTGGATCTCTCAGACAACAGTATTTCAGCTCTCTCAGACATCTCATTTCTTAAATCATTGCAGGTTGGTTCTGTGGAAATTGCTGGTGTGTATTTTCCATCAGTGTTAAGACCCATTAAGACCCACATTTATCATAAGCATGATGTGCATATGTTTAAGTAAAGTGTATTTGAGCATGGAATAGAACTACTGTATCTTGTTTTGCATCTTACTATGATGCTGCTTTCTTTTTAATGTAGTAGGGCAATAATATCCTGTAGACCCCCCCCCCCCCCCCCAAAAAAAAAAAAAATGAATCTCAAAACTGTCAAGTTTTTTTTTAGACTCTCCTTTTGCATGGTAACATTTTGACCAATTTGAAGACTGTGCCAACATACCTTCCCAAGTCCATAGCAATTCTGTCACTGGCTGAAAATGAAATTAGTGACCTAACTGAGGTATGTATGAAACATCAGAACTAAAGATTTGAAGTCAGTTTAAAACTTGAATTTGCAAAAACTTTTAAGTTTAAATATATTTGTACCAGTCCTTAAAGAAATTCACAGTTAAACTAAATGTCTTCTCCAAATATATAATTTGTGTAATAAATACAAATAACTCTAATACTGAAACTTACATAAACACTGACCAACATTGTCTTATATATAATTTGAATTGAGAAATGTTTTCTATATTCTCGTTAACACTACTTCTGTAAATAACGCTTAATACTTTAATACTAATAATACCATTAGAACCCATACTCGTGAATATTAATTTAAAATTTTATATCTGTGAATTTTTTCAGGTTTCGTACTTGTCTTGTCTTACCAAACTGGAACAATTGTCCATCATGAACAACCCCTGTGTCATTATGTCTGCTTCTGCTCTGTATCCTTCCGATATGAAAATTACATTATGTCCACACACGCACGCACGCACACAAAGAGTTTGATTTAAAGGGATAATAACTCTTCGTTTCGGCCAAAAAATTAATTTTCCTGGAGTAAACAACAATTTTCCCATACTTACCAATGGTTAATGAATACATTTTTAAATTCAAAGTTAGTCCCTGTTTTTTTTCTAAAAAGTTTGGTCTTTTTGTTAAAATCTCTTAAGAGATTTTAACAGAGTATAGCCATCAATGGAGGTCACGTGGTCTAAAGACAAGCTCAGATATCAGAATAATAGCTATAACTGCCATTTTTGTGGTAAAACAGAATATATTATATTTCTATGAGTTATTCACAATGTTTTTATTGTGAAATATAGATCTCATACAAAGAGTTATTATCCCTTTAAGTTGTCCTAATTCCTTAACTATAGCATCAGAGGATTTGATTACAGACCATTTGTTATAAACTGGTGTATGCATCTCAGAATTCTGGATGGTTACATGGTCAGTGATAAAGAATGGTGAGATTTTTTATATGCAACAATGTCTTTAGCATCTTTTTAATGACAAAAAATACATACAGCATTAACTTAGTGTTTCTAGTTGATACACATTCCTATCACTTGAAAAGTCCAGTGTGATAGAGATAAATTCACAGGAATGTTTGCTATACTTTTAACTGCTGCACAGCCAAGCAACAGGTCAAAAAACCAAAGATCCAATTTTCTTTTTCTTCTATATATGACTTTTTTGCTAATGAGCAATTTCTACTGCAGGTTCTATTACTTCTGTAGGTCTGGAGCTTGTTGTTTTGATGAATGCTGTTTTCTGTTGTTAAAAGTCGAATTCTGTCTGAGAGATCCAGTTTTATTTGATTTCATTTTTTTTTTTTTAATCCTGTTTCAGTCTAAAAGCAGAATGGCTCTATTGTCAGGGAAAGGGCCGCCACTTTAGGCCAGGGCAACACTTCTTGCTGGTTGAGTACTTATCAAAGGTGTGCCCTTTAACTGGGATGACACAGGTACATATAAATGAGCAGAATAATTTAACAGTTAACAGATCTAATTTTTGTGTTACACAAGTGCTGGTCTTGTATAGTGTACGTATGCTATTTTACTTTCTACATTTGGCCAATTTACCTTTAAAGGAGCTGTGTTTGTAAGTGTTGAAGTACAGAGGGTATATACATGTATGTAGAATATGATGGTAGCAAATATCACTCTTGAAATCATAGCTCGAAAGAAAAGAAGACATGAAGCTGGCCCAGGTACTAAGCAAACAGAAACAATACCAACAGCAGTTATTGCAAGAAAACAGCTACCTCTTTTCTCCTAACCCAGAGAGGTCAGAATCCCCAGTGAGAAAAAATGTTCATACATCTGGTAAGGGAACTTAATAGAACATTTGAAATGCTTTTTAATGATTTTACTGCTTTTGTTTTCTTTAATTTTGACTGTGTATGTAAAAAGTGCCTGCAAAATATAGTTTATATGTGAGGGTGTGTGACTGCAGTCAGTGACAATGATTCAAATTTATCTTAAAGATGGTAAAATTTTAACATTTATTAAAAGCTTTTCTTTATAATTTTCAATGAAATACTAACATTAAACTAGGTCGCCAAGCCTCTCACCCAGATGAGTCGCACGTCTCACAGCTGTACCCAATAGAAACCCCAGCTAGTCTGTATGCTGACCTGCAGGAACAGTCTTCAGGTGCAATGTGGGCAAGCAGTAAGTAGGCATGTGTATCATAGAATTTGTATGCTATCTGTCTTCACAATCACTCTAAATTGTACTTGTGGTTTAAGATTAGTATAAGGATTTTCCTCAGAGAACTGTCCAGCGGTCATTTGGACTGCCAGTTTTCTAAGGAGATTGCTGAAATTTTATTTGAAGTTGGAATGGCTTACAAAAATATGTGGATTATCAGGCCTACCCAAATACCAAACTTGGCACCGAAGGATCCAAAATTCACCGGTAGATCTAATCACGCTACCCATTTTCAAGGTGTGTATCAGTACAATTTTCGAAGTATCAGGCGCGGCACCCTCTTGCCTGGTATGCAATGTGATAGCAATCATCCTCAGTGGGGTTGGAAAGTATTGTATCTCATGAAGATTCATGCACTACTGCTATTTTCTCTTTTTTATGTAATAAATCGAACAATGCCATGATTTTTTTAACATAAAGTTCAAGTTTGAACATAGCCAAAGGTGTTATGCAGTAGTAAGTACATTTTAAGTCTTGCAAAAATACAAATAGATGTGTATGTCCCTGCTTAGCCAGAAAATCATCATAACAATTATCATATAATCATTTGCTTTACTGTTAACAAAAAATGAATCAAACATTACATACCTTGAAAACGGGTATGGTGGTCCGATCTACTGATGAATTCAGGATTATTCGGTGCGGAGTCTCGTAGTTGGGTGGGCCTGGATATGATGGCTTGATATTATAGGGCATAGAAAACTCTTGAAAAGTATTTTGATGTGCCTAGATTTTTTTGATGTACCACTTGCGTAAATGGACATGAGAAGTACTCTTTGAAGATTATCAAATGTTATAATGAAATAGTAGGTAAATAAACATTGTATCTTGTATTTGGACTCCCTGTCCATAATCCTTGAGAAAACCCTGGTAAGGGGACAAATGTATTGTCTGTGACTGGCATTTTTAAATATACTTAAACATTATAACTGTTTTTCATTTTAAAACATGCTTTGGTAAGCTGGTAAGGGTATGTGATTGAACATGAAATATATCAGATGTTATGCATAACTTAGTAAATGTTATTAGCTGACTCTTTTTTTTCAGTGAGTCCCATGATTGCAAGCACACTGCCTTACCAGAATTCTAGACAGGGAAGGCATGGAGAACATATGGTTCTAGAAGATGTTACAGCAGGTAATTATGCAATGGACGCTCATTATAGTCAGGTAGTAATTGTAGTGATTATACAAAATTTACTGTTTGAAAATTTTCAAGCTTTGGTGGGAAGTTGCCAGTAAAACACAGTACCTGAACAGGCAATGGATTGGCCAGTGTAGAAAGTTATACCATGAAGGTGTGACTGCACTACTTCATTTAATTTAAAACCTTGATATTTTTTTTTTTTCACAATATTCTTACATGTTTTACATAGACAACACAATCAATATCTTTCAGATGAAATGAACAGTGCTAATACCAGCTTACTTGAGTCTGAATCTCAATACATCCCAATCGATCCAAGTACATCACCACTCCGTCCCATGACTGCTCCATCTGGTCCAGCTAACTCTACAACATTTGCAGAGATATTTGCTCAGAGACACAGTCCCCCTAGGCCAAGGACTGCAGGACCTATAGAGGGTAGAGTTGAACGAGGTTTACAAATAGAAAATGTAAGACAGTTGACTGGGACTTTTTCACCTCAATATGCAAACAAATTTGAAGAGCATGAGAACAAGCCTTTGAGGACTTTAAACCAGGAACTTAGCAAAAAAAGAACAGTTTTGACATTGGGAGGGTCACCTCCAAAAAACAAAGGAAGACAGCCCATATCAGCTCCAAGCCCAAACAACAGGAAAAGAACATCAAACAAATCACAAGAGAGCCCTATGAAATTGTTAAATGATACCAGTGATTACACGTCAGACAACAGTCTTCGGGATTCAAAACTCGGTATTGTCCGGCAACTTGCTGCAGAAAGAAAAAAGAAGACAGCATTGAGAAGACAGGTTCACAGCAAACCTTCACCTCGCCAAGCAGTGATTCAGCCGAAATTTGCTGCACATTCTCCACCTCGAGCTACTTCGCCATACAAAACAGTCTACAGTCCAGATAAATACTCACCAAAATCTAAACCAACCAGAGCAGCTGCTAAAATGAAGGGAGAAGTTCAAGATACAAATAAAGCCCAGACAAAAGACAATAACCAAAAAATGGGTTATTTAGCTGCCCCGCTGAAGGACAACAGTAGTCTGTCAGTGATACTGCCTGAGGGACAGCAAAAAGGTATTGCCAATATAATATTTTGTTGTTTTACTAAAGTAGACACACTTATGGTGCAAGAACTAGGATATTCTTTCAGCCACATTTGATATTGTGGGACTAAATTTGGTCTCATTTAGGTCTACTATATCTTAACAACACAATGTACCTTCTGTTCAGGTTTTCCAGTGTACATTTTAAACAAGGTACTATAAGCATACAACAGAAACATAACTATTTACACAATCCCAGAAAGGTTCAAGGTAATAAATTATTCGTTTTAGGCCACAAAACCACTTTTGAAAAACAATTTGATGTACTCTACCATTTCGAATAACACTTATAAAATTATGAAATGGTGCTTTAATTTTCCTGGAATAGAAATGGCAGAGAATGCAACCAGGATTCAGGCATTATGGAGAGGATACTGGACCAGGATGCATGAGCCCGTGGTGGTTGAGGCTAGGAAGGAAATTAGAATGAGAAGAGCTGAGGGCCATTTAAAACATTTGAGACAAGAGCTAGACAGGTATTATTTGTATCACTGGACTGACCTCAAATCATCTTTCAGTCAAGTAAAACTTTCTTTCGATTTCTTTTATAGTGTTGTTGAAGGTGCCATTTGGTTCTCACATGTGGAGTGTCTGAATGGCATAAGATTTAAATAATTTTGTAGCTTGCAGTTTCTTTTATTGTACTTGTAGGCAAAAGCAGTCATTAGATCAGGAGAAACAGTTGAGAATCCTGCAGACAGAAGCCATCAAGTTCCTATGTAGGGAGGTAAGGAATCAACTTTTTAAAGACTCATACATGTAAGCCCCTGTGATACATTACAATGGACAAGGTAAATCAGTTTGATCTACAGAATTTGTACACTATGCAATGACACTTTTTGTCCAAATGCATTACATTTGATGGACTAAGGGGGGGGGGGGGGATTAATGATTTAATCATTGATAAATAATATACAGTTTACCTGCTCATTTTATTTTAGTTGGATGAGTTGAAGAGAGGAACAGCTCTAAACACAAGGACATCATCAGCTGGAGATATGAAGGAATCAGACCTGCAAAAGTTGTGTTTTAGTCTTCAAAGCCAGGTTTGTGTGATTGGTTGCAGGATACAAACCTTGGTGTTCTTCTCTCTTATTGTATAACTTTGATAAGAATTAAAACTATGAGACCAATTCCTAGGGGGCTGAACTCCCAAAATGTAAGCACTAGTATATAGAGTAGTTAGGTCAGTCCTGACATTTTGCCTTTTTCCACATGTACCCCAGTAAAGACAAGAGGTACAATCAGAATAGTATGTGCATAGAGTAACTACATACCTTGGCTTTCTTTAGCCCTAATGTGCCCATAAAATATGGCCTGGGTGCTGAACTAATGAGTACCTTGATTTTAGCATGCATACATGTAAGAAATACATCTGAAGGCTCACTTTTTAAATTAGGTGCATCAGCTGCAGCAAGCAATGAAGACTACGTCCTCCAGATTACTGCAGACAAGTGGTCTGAACATTTCAGAAGAAAGCACATCTTCAGGTAGAACATTTGTTGATGACATAAAAGTGAAATATGTTGATTGATAGAATGATTTATGATTCAAACTGAACAACTAAATAATGCAGTATTTTAGTTTACAGATGAGCTAATGTTGATATTGAAGTTTTGATTGAATAAATGACAACAGGTTTAGAATAAATGGAATCATAAAAGGAGCTTCAGTGTATCGCTATAATATTTTTAACTCAAAGTTTTTCTTTACTAGATGATGATGATGACAGCATTCACATCCATGGAACATTCCTTGACAGCTCATCACAAAAAGGAAAGTGGAGTAAGTATATACATATATGTATCAAAGTTCATTTTTTGTATATTGCAGGTCCTTGTTATGAAATTGAAACTGTCTGCCTTTGTACATGTGTATTTGCCGACCTGGAAATGACACAAGAAAGTGGGTCAATTCCATGTACGTCTATGTGTTGATCTGTTCCTTACTTTTGCAATCAATTATTAAGTGTACCTGTATCTTTTTATTTCAGTGCCAAGTGGAGATACACTTAAACAGCATGATCCCAGTTACTATGAGAATGTCCCCTTGCCTGGTGTCCCAACAGCTCCCTCTGAGCTTCAATATTGTATCAAACACAGCACCAGCCTGCTGCTCAGATGGAAGCCATCTAAAGTAGTGGATATGGAAGGGAAATTTTTGAACAAGCCTATTATTGGTATGTCCAGTATTGAACTAGACATTCTTTTCTATGTGTAAGTGTTCTTAATAATTGAATTAAAATATGATTTGAACAATCATTACAGATGCTTAAGGATACTGCTATGTCACTGGCAAGATATTATGGAAGTTTTGTCATTTGTTGATTGAGTCTTAGAGTGAGTGAAAATGCCCAGAATTTGATTACCATTCTGTTTTAATCCCAGAAGCTAAACTTATTAAGCCATGTTGCATTTTGAAGCGCCATTCTCTTTTTTGTAGGCTATAGAGTGTATGTGAATGACCAAGCAAAAGGAATGGTGTCTGGGACCAAAACTACAGCTTTGCTAGATGGCCTGGATCCCAAATACCAGTACAAGTAAGGCTTTAATATGCAATTGTGTCATCTGGTTAGGAAAAATTGCTCTCTAAAATTAAGTATCTTTTGTTTTTTGTAAAAAGTGAACTGTGTCACCACAAAGAAATATGTAAAGTGGCATTTTTAATAAGGTTTATGATTGAATTGGAGTGATTGCAGTTATTAATCAATAAGTTCAATATATTTTGTGAGTCCTTTATATACACATGTGAATACAGATTTCTTTTATACCCCAGATTTTTTGTGAGAGCTGTGTCATCAGTCGGAGAGTCTTACAACTCTGATGAAGTCACAGTGACCATGACAAGTCCTCTTGATATTCCAAGCACCAGTTCTACAACCACAGATAGTGACAAGGACCACGACTCAGCAGAAGAAAGAAGTGATGAAAGCAAACCAAAAACTTCTTTTGAAAAACCTGGCACAGACCATGGAGATCAAGAAAGCAATAAACATGATACAGGAGTTTTATCAACAATGAAATCAGCTGGGTCCCCCACAGATTTGAATAATTCATGTAGCTCTAGTTCACCCTTGCAGCAGCAGAGTCACATAGACCCAATCAGTGTGAAGAAAAACATATCATTACATACACCTCTGTTTCCACCCTTGTCTGCAGACACACAAAAAGAGCCTCTAAGCCCTTTGATGAATTCACAGGAACCTATCACAGGCTCTTCACCTCCAAGGAGCCCTAAGAAATCTAATGTCATGGAGAGACTGGAGCAGAAAGTGCTGTCATACAAGGAAAGAACTTCACCCATGAAAGACTGCAAAACATCTGAAGCAAACAGTGGTGTTGATGATTTGTTTGATATCACTACCACCACTGACAGTATTCCTCCTGATTTAAAGGGTCCAATAAAAGTAATTCCCAGTGATGCAGATTCAGTCATCAAAGCAGAAGTGGTTGCAGGTAAAGGAGATCCTGGTGCCAACCATGAAGATTCCATGTCAAATGAGAAAAGTTCTGACCAGGACTTGATTGCTGACAAAGTTACGTAAGTGGTCTAAATGTCTTGGTTCGACAGCATAAATATCTTGGGGAATAAATTGTGTTGTAATAATCTTTATCCAGATCCCTCGTTGACGGTTGAAATATCATTAAATAAATATTTGACATAAAATTGTGAGTTCTGAAAATTTCAATGTACAGCCACATATAATTTTATTAATGAGGGCAGTGTTGATTGCCATTTCAGCTTATGTAGAGAATGAAAATTAATCATTTTGTTTTTTGGGTGCTCTTCATGAAATGTTTGAACTTGTCATCAGTTCAATCGTGATGCAGGTTGTTTCTGTTTTGAGTGGTAATTAGGTTTACCTCTACCTGTAATTCTTTGTTTCCCAGGGAACAGCAGTTGGAGAGCAATCCTACCCAAGCCCCTATCTCTGATGGAAAGTTCTTTAAGTTTCCAGTTCTTGGTTCTGGGGTGCTCCAAGACAGTGCCAATAATATGCTGGGGCAATCTACAGAAACATTTAATGATGTAGGTTACTAGTATAATGATATATAATTTTAATCCCCAGAAGATAAATTTTGATTTAGAATTGTTTTTTATACTTCTAAATGTACGTAAGTTGTAACTTTTAGATTAATAAGCAATTTTGTGATCTAAAGATTATATTCATATTGAAATTGGAAAGTATGCAAAAGGTTATGATCTGTGCCATAGAAGTTGTTGCAAAGGCTGTTTTAAATGTAAATGAAAAGAAATGTTTATCTCTTTTAACTTTCAAAAGGAGGAAACGCAGTGAGGTAATATCAGATAGATGTTTGTTTTCAATTTTATTCAGCGCTTAAGCATAACTTCAAATTCTGTTGAGAATACATTTAATATATAAAATCATGCTAGTAATTGGTCATTTTTTCGAATATACATCATTTATCCATACCATGAGATTACCATAGAATTAAGCAGAAATAATTTTACTTGTAGGTTGATGATTCAAGTGTCACCAAGGTCTTGAAGGACATAACTGACAAAACTGCAGCAGCAGCTGAGGCACAAGCAAACATGGTTGTCAATAATGAGTTGGAGTGTGGGCAAGGAATTTCTGTTGATAGTACAAAAAGAACTGAACCCAAACTGGGCAGTACAGCTGCATCATTGCTGGCTAAATTGCAGTACAAGTTGTCTGGGTGACGTGTAGTTGTTGAATAACCAGTGTTATTTATCTTTTATTTATAATGTTTATAAGACAATAATAACTGAAGCCAAATTGGTTAGTACAGCTGCGTTGATATGTGCTTTTATAAATGTTGTATTGTACAAGTGTTTGGATAAAATGCTGTTAATGTGTATGACAAAGGATGTTTGTGATTTTGAGGTTTGTAATTGCATTCACTATATTTAAGTCTTTAAATGAGGTGTCATGGCGCAATCATAAAAATACTTGTTATAGCTTCATTATAAAACTGCTGATCCTCTCACCCTTTTCGTTCAGCACATTCTGTATGTGCTGCAGGTTATCAAGAGTGCATTGTTCATGTATTAATAAGCAGTAGGAATTGCAAATTATACATATCAAATTTTAGATACTTTAGACTTTATTTTGTGAAAATGCTGGGGGTGCCCTGTAACAAAAGACAATTATTATGAGATATGATAATAGAAAATGGAGCCTTCTATTTTGAGCTTTCATTGGTTATAACACTAGTATATGAACTGGACATAGCAATCATTTATAATAAATATGTAACATAAACTGATGTGGTAAGAATATATTTAATGGAACTATATTCCCCCCCCGAGTAGAACATTACACAGCCAATATAAACTAAATAATTTATTTTGTATTTCCAAATGTTTTTATGTTATATTGAAAAAAGTTTTCTTGTAAAACATTTTTATTTTTTATTTATTATAATTTTTTGATGTTGTTGAAAATTAAGAGACCAAGATAATGAACTGGCAAATATCAATCTCATGTTGATATATTTTCTCCTCCAATCCCCACCACCTCAAGCTGATTTGCGTTTCTTTGAATTATTGAAGGTACTTATTATCCATGTCTTTATTTCATTTATTGTTTTAATAATGTACAGTTGGAACAATGAATTGTATACATTTTCATTTCCTTACAGAGACCTCGCTGAAAAACAATAAAAAGATAATTTTGAAGCTCATGCAATGAAGAGGAATCTTTAAAAAGATGTTAATTTTTAAATCCAAAGTAACTGTAACATTTTACATCAATACAATACTGATATGAGCACTTTACACTTTATAGAAGTTTAACAACTTTAATGCCAGGGACATGATTATTGGGAGGGGTGTCCCTCTGGCATTAAGGTATCTTGATCTGAATTGATTGAAACTCTGGTTTGATTGGAACCCTGCATAATGTCATTATTCAAAAACTCTTGAATTTTAATCACAATCAACTGATAGTTGCTTGTCTTTTGTATATCTAAACATCCATGTGATATTTAAGAGTTTATTTTATTCAAGAAACCCTTGTATTGCCCTTTGAAATTTTGAATACTTAAACAGCAAAAACAAAACATTCACTTGAAGACATGGTTACATGTTCTTAGTGCAAACTGTGAATTACTTGGAATGCACAGACAATATTTCTGACGACCATTATGCCCAGGAATGCCATAAGTTTTAATAATTTTACACATATTGCCCTGAGCATTGAAGTGAAGAAGACTCCAATATTACTAGTTCTATACCAGAACATCATGTTTTTTTCTCTTTCAATTTATTTTTCTGTAGGTTATGTCTGATTATCGAGTTAAGAATATTGCATGTTGTTTTGCATTTTTAATATTCATATAACATCAATCTAAATAGCATTTAGTTTTAAATTAAAATATATAGGAAAATTTTTATAGTCTTCAAACTAATCTATAATTCACATAAAAACGTGTCTTCAAAGGTAAAAGGATACATTGAAAGGCTGAGATCTTCTAACTGCAAAGAAAAGGAAAGTCATCAGGAGAGATGGCGGAAATGGTGATAAAACAGTGTTATGATAAGTGAGGTGTATTCCTAATGACAGATTATAACATTCACTAACTTACATATTTCTGAGATAATCATTTTCATACCCCTAACATTCATAAGAGTGTTCGAACAAATTTTCATTCTATGTCTCATTTATGAAAATTGCTTACATTCGTCATCAATTTCTCCATATTCTGACTGACCAACTGCCTTCCCTGCTCAGATCCAAGTCTGAAATAAAATTGCAGCAGTGGTTACGTATTGGATCAATATTACTACAATTATATCTCAATCCTAGTAATTCCAGTATATTTTTAAATAAAAGTTTAAATAAAAGTTAAAAGTTTTATATTATCATAATCATTTGCAAAAATAAAAAAAAAATTGTTTATTTACTAATATTCCCTTATTTCATATTGTATGACAAATATACAAAGATGGTTTCAATGGATATTGATTCAGGATAATATAGAATCCATACTTATGCCTATCTTGTTGAGCATCCAGTTCAAAATGCAATTTGGCTAATTTTTCTTGCTGTTCTCTCACTTGGTCCATCTTCTCAAATGAACACTCTTGTCCTGTGAAATAATAATAGGCATACATTGTACACTCTGATACCAAGACATGTAACAATGATTTCATTCTGAAGGTCTGTCACAGACAGCACAAAGACATTGAGATATGCATATAAATCTTCAAATTATCAGATTCTTACCAAACGCCTGAAGTTTTCCTGAATGAAAGTCATTGAGTAGCTGTAACAGACCCTGTTCCATTTCCCGGACTTCTGCAACATCTGTCAGAAAGGAATGTTCTTTGCATGGCCTTCTACCTTCATCTGTTATAAAAAGGTTCTAAGTGAGAGGAGGTCCATTTATCAGAGAAGGGAGACAAAAAGGATAATTCTGCTCTACTTAAACCCTTTGTTATCTTTGCCTTTATTCCCCCTGCCCCTTAGCCTTGAGTAAAACCCTGTATCTATGGCAATATATTATTTTCTATTAATAATTAAGATGCTTATAGAACGTTTTTACTGTAAATGAAAAAATAACTTGCGACCCCCTTCAATTCCAATTCAATAAAAAATAAAAAATTTACAATGTGTGTACTAGCACCTATATGAACACGTACATGTATTACTGACAATTTAACCAAATTAAACAGGAAATTTGCATGCATATTTCGATACCTGGATCAGTGAAATCGAGCTTCATCTGAGTTTTCGAGTTTGACTGCACATTCTTTACTTGCTTGTTGGATGGCTTCACTTTCTCCATGGTTCTGTATCTGAATGTGAAAGTAATTAACATTTAATTGAGCTTTATGTTATTGCAAGGTGAGGTTCAAATTTAAGCTTTGGTACAGTATGTTGATTAACTTTAATTTCAACGTTGACTCTGTTTACATATGATAATTGTGGGTTTGACAAGTTATAGATTAATGTAAACTTACCGACAATGAAGCTGATGAGCATGCCTCCACAGAGCAACTGCAAGTTATATCCTATCAATCTGTTAAGAAATATTGTCTGAGACTGCAAACGTCAGTAGGCAAACTTCTGAGACTGGAGTAGTATTTCGTGTTACTGGAAATTTTGTTGAACCACAGCTCATATAGGTACGAAATGGGATGATTAAATGCCTCTGGTACTATGTCCAACACTTCAGAATTGTACAAATTAAAACATAATTAGTGCTTGTCTTTTGCCTCAACGGAAGTCGCTCTTTTTTAACAGAGATTCTAAAGACATTCAACATGGCAGCTCCCACATGCACAACGCTGCCATGATCATCGCTATGATTACCCCTGGCACGATTTAAGCAGGATTACCTCTGAAACGAACACCATCTGAAATCTGAAACCATCTGGCACGATGATCAATGCGAGTAGAATAACATTTGGTTTTCCTCCTGTCTCCTTATGTTTATCACGTGTATTTGCAAATTCCTCCTTGAAAATTTTCGTGCAAAGTGATAATAATACTCCTATCTTTGTAAGAAGAAGGAATGTGCGGTTGCAAAAGAGAAATTGTTCAAAATATGGCAGACACGACATAAAAGAATTGCCTAGAAGAAAATTTAACATTGACAGAAAAGGATTGGGGCAGGTGTCAAGACCTGATTTTTTTAGGAATGATCACCAGTATGACATGAATCCAGTTCATTATAACACAGATATGAGGAAAAGAAAACAAGATATACCTGTAATAAGATCTCCTCTCAAGCCTTGGCATGAGGGAGATCCAGATGAAACCAGTGATAAGAAGGTTGAAAACGAGGTTACAGGGGTACTTATTATTATTATTATTATTATTATTATTATTATTATTATTTTATTTTTTTTTTTTTTTTGATAATTGTAAATATTTTGATAACACTAAAATGTGCAATACAGTGCAATACACTAGAGAAAACGATCCTGGATGTGAACAGTAAATGGTCTTTCGCAAGAAAATATAGAATGACATAAAAGCGATATATATTACTAAGTAAATGAAGGTAATTAATAATGTGACCCAACTTTATAAATTGGTAATATAGCTCTTCTTAGCATGTATTGCGCATTTTAGTAGGACCCTTAATATTTTGCCTTCAAAACACTTCTATGTTATTGGTATTAGCCTGAGTCTTCTGTCTCTAGCACTCTTAGCCTTACTTTCTGTATTTATTGAGTGTGCTGGTGAAAACCCTTGCATAAGATTGAAAATTGTGGTATGTGTACCTTAAAGGGATGACACCCTTTCATTTTGGTAGGAATAATGCCATAATATGGATTTCCCTGAGGTAAATGACCATTATCCCATACTTTCCCATGGTTAATGAATACTTTCCCACATTCAAAGTTAGTTCATTTTTTTGTAAGCTTTTTAAGTGTGTATTTTGTCATAATCTCTTAATGGATTATCTATTGAGAGATTTTTACAAAAGATACTAGTACTAGTAGCTCTCTATAAAAGTCTACATGTTCTGATGACAAGCACAGATTTTAGAATTATTGGGATAACCACCATTTTGGTGAAAAATGGAATTTATTTTATTTTTATGTGTTGTGTACAATGTATTTATTGCGGAATTTTGAATCTCATATGAAGAGTTGTTATCCCTCTACTGTAAATTTCTTAACAATGGCAGAGTTGATGGATGCCATTATTTGGGAGGGCTGATAAAAAGCAGGGGTGGATCCAGAGATATTTTCTGACAGTCTTCCATATTATATTTGTTGGTCCATCCTCCATTTTTTGACTGTATTCCGACAGAAAAAATTAGATACCCGTCAATGTAAACTTGAAAATCTGACCGTCTTCCGGAAGACCCAGAAGACGGCCTAAATCCGCCCCTGAAAAGAGCAATATTGTGATGATGAGTCAACCGATTTTCTACAAATTTATCTCTATCAAGGGGCATTGTTGGTTTGTTGTCATTGTGCAACTAATAAAGTTTTGAGACAAAGGCACCATTCAGACTAGTCCAAGGGTCAAATGTGGCAACCCACTACAAAGCTTGCCATCTAATCTGCTAATAGACACTGAATAGATATCCTGTGGAGAAATATTCAAGTGGGTCGACCATATTTGACCCTCAGACTAGTTATTCCACTGTTCTGAATTTGGCCAGAGGGATAAAATTGAGAGCTGTTGCAGCAATAATATTAAAATAGTTTTCATCTTATTTTCCAAGGTCAAGCATGTTTGTAAAATAAAAAGATGTAGATAGGAATGGCTGATTATCTTGACATCCAGGTGATAAGTCCAAATAATCTAACTTTAGGGCACCAATTTATCTTTTTACATAGATGTTATGCAGAATACCATGAGAATATGAGTATATACTGTATAGAAAAAGTGGCACTCACATTTCACAGCACACTTGAACTTCTTCTCACCTTTGTTCATGCAACTATCGTATTGTCACCTGTTACAATGATGAAAAGCCAATTACTAGTACCTTTAATTAGTTATAAGCTGGAGAAAAGTTTTGAGTAGATTTATCCATTTGTTTTTATAAAATGAATTAGTATTAATGTGACCCTGCCAAGACTTAATTCCTTTGTGATATGATTCCTCTGTGCTCAGTGCTGATAAAATGTAAAATGGAGAACTTGAGACAGAAAATTCAGAATACTGTATTATGTTTAAATCATCTACTAGTAGTAGGATAAATCTCCTTTCAGTCATAACATTCATTCCAAGTCAGTTATCTGTAATTGATTGGATCAGTTAATTTTAATGAAAAGAAGATGATAACTTTTTAAAAATCTTTCTTTTCTACATGTATAAATAGATTAACTTGCATTACTTAATATGTCATTCCAAATGGCACCAATTCTAGGGTCCTTGCTACCTTAGAATTTGAGCCACGTTACATTTATCTACATTATTGCAAATTCTCTTCAGAAAATTTTATCAGGCTTATTGAAATTACAGGCTGTAACACATTCATTTGAAAGACAAAATGCGAGGGGTCAGTGGAGACCAGGAGTACATGAACAAAAAAACAACAGCAGACCTAGATTTATAAGCAAGAGGCAAATTAAAAACCTCAATGTCTTTGACATGCCAGAAAAAGCTAAATCTGAAATAATTTCAAGGTATGGGTATCTTCATGATTGTTATACTAATTGCAAGAAGGCCAAAATCACCTTGAAAATAAGCCTTCAAAAGCCAGTTTATCTTCTTAGCAGATAATATTTGGTATGAAGCTCTTTTTATGGAACAACAGACAAAGTGTATTCTTCTAAATATATATTGGTTTACATACTTTAGTCACTTTTGGATACAGTAAATTTTTATTTGAAAACATCCCAAAAGCCTATTTAGGCAGGTGACCTACATTAGCATGCATGTTTTCTTTTTTTTTTTTTTTTTTTTTTTTTTTTTTTTTTTTTTTTTTTTTTTACCAAACTGAATTTGTAAAACCATTGTTGACGATTGTCAAAAGCTGGCCAAAGTAAGACAGTGTTTTCTTTAGGTGTATACATATTGACAATTTAAAAAATACCACCAAGCAATGTTATATCACCTGCCTGAAAAAGATGTTTAAGTCATTATCAACAGCTATGAAATTTATTTCCAGGACAATATCACCAAAGATAAGAGGCACCTGTCTGTTTGGATTATATCCTGTTTTACTGGCTTTGCAGCAAGGAAGAAGGTAGGTTAATACCTTACACCCCATTCTCATAGATTAGATCGACCTACATTGGATCGACCTAACTCCCTGGGGGTTCACGCTAAATAGCTGTCAGCCGGGCGGACACGAAAGTTAATTACCCCTTATAGCTTGTAGTAGGCGGGGACGGACACTTAAGGCGGATTATCTGACAGTAATCTAGTGAGACTCCCCGCGGTGATAGATCGATCTAAAAGTTGTGAGAACAGAGCCTTAGTATCAGTTGTGTTATACCTACATTTGTACCAGAAGGACATGGTCTTTGTTGGTGAATAGTTAAATTATATGCCTTTTTTGATTTGACACATATACATGTACCTCACTGTACTAGTAGCTTAGAAGTGAAAGAACCAGCATTACTTTTGGTGTGCTTTAATTAAATTGAATTATATACAAGTATAAAATTGATTTGTTTTAAACACAGATTTTTGTGTCATTTAACATGATATTTTATCCAGGAAACTTTTCCACAAGTTCTATATGAAGGATGACCTGATTGACTCTGACAGGGAAATTATTAAACAGCTATTAGAGGCTGCTGCAATGAGGAACTTAACCATTGTTCCAACTAGCAACGGAATACTAGATGTCTTGTCTAACTTTAGACCACACCAGGTGAAGAGCATATGCTATTTTGGTGTATTTGATTTGTATATTTTCCTTCCCCTTTTCCTGTCCTGTGAATTAAGCGTAAAGTAAAAGAAATAAACAGCTGAAAGATAGAGGTTAATGTATACAGAGGGAAAGTTTTAAAACACATGGAATAATTTTCAAAATAATGAAGTGTATACATTACACTACTACATTTATTAATGCATGCTCATCGAATAATGCTTATGTTTTGCAATTTGTCAAGTAGGTTCTTTTGATATTTGAATTTTTCTGCAGAATTGCACCAAACTTAATTTACTTTTGAAGTGAATTTGTCATACAGCTGTTGGTGGCAGATTCGTTTGTAATTGGCATTTTTTATTCACAGGGTGTATGTCTAGATTGTGATATGCTGCTCTTTGAACCACTGGATTTTGCACAGCTAAGGTGTGTGTGCATATGGGAAATTTTGCCTCAGTATTTGCAAGTTCTCCAAGTCACTGCTCAGTTATATATATATAAGAAAGTCATTTAAACAGGAGACCAAATATAATGAGTTATTCTTTATCATGAAATAATCAAATTTATCTGATAGTCTTTAGTTTTATTTCAACTTTAAAATGAGCAGTTTTAGACAGAAATTTAAGCATTGATATTTTACAATTAAGTTGATTAACAGTAGCATGAGCAGTGTTCTTTTATTTTTTAAAAGTCTGGTATTTGCAACTTTTTAATACCTTTAGACAGCAAGAATTTACTCATCATCAAGTCTGGCTGTTACTGAATCAAATTGTGGTATGTTGTTTTCAAGCATGAGGTTTGAGAGTTGGAACTTTCATATTTTCTAATAAATGGAGAGCAGATAAGTCAGAGGGTAGAGAGAAAATGGTAATTAAAATATTAGTTGACAAATTTACAGGACTTAAAATATTTAGACTATATCAGTTTTGAATTAGATAAAAAAAGTCTGGATAAAATTATTTTATGGAGTTTTTATTATAGTAATATTCACATCTCAGTTAACTCATAAATGGCACACATTGTATTTTACTTCTTTTCAAAGGATACCATGAATATGGGAGGAATCATAAGAACAGCATACTATCTTGGGATTGACAAAATCTTGTCTTCACAGTTTGGGTTAGTTATATTTTTGTCGCTACACTTTTTGAAGAAAAGATAATTGTGTAGATCTTTGATTTTCCCATCAAATGTACAAAGTACAGTGTGTAGGGTTTATTGCAAGAAAAGTGTAAATGCTGTTGTGCAAATTTGCAACTGAAGGGATGCATATTTTTAAAAATCTGTTTATTATTTTTTATATCATTTATCGCAAGCATCCATTTACACTGGTATGGTTGGTACAGTTGGTAATAACTAATGTCCTTTTTTCCATGAGATATTTAATTGTTAGTCATATTTTCAGTTGTAAATTGACACCCACAGCAAGTAAAACAAGTGCAGGAACTTTGGAAATTACACCTGTGTATGGGGTAGAGGATGTACCAGTTTTCCTAAACGTAAGTTTGGTCATGGAGACCCACAGTGGGTCTATTTATAACTTTAATTGTATCCATTTTATGACATAGGGGTTATGGTGACCATCCATCGAAGTTTTCTATATACCCTGTGCAAACTTCTATCCCCTTCATACTATTTGTATTTTTCTTTACTAGAAATTAGTTATCAGAAGGTTTTTATGTAAAGAAAAATAGTAACTTAGTGACTGAAAGAGAAGTTAAATCCAACTGGTGACATAAATCCCTGGTAGTTACATATAATTGACAAATTTATTATTAAAACCACAGTTTGTGACACAACCAACTTCTACTTGATTTGANAACCTTTTTCATCTTTTCCGGAAATACGAAGTGCGCATGACAGGAACCGCGCGCCACAGGGGTCACGGTGGTCCTCTGCTGTTTCCAGCATGGCAATGCTAGGTGTAGATGATGTACAAGGTGCGAATATAAAAAGGTCGTTTGAAGCGTGCACTGCTTTCTGTCAAACTAAAAAGGTGGCTGAAGCACAGAAATGCGTAAACTGTAGGCAAGAAAACAGCTATTTGGACCTAGAATCAAGCAATTAAATGTTTTTTTTCTCAGTTTAAATACGATGCGCTGTACAACTAGACTTCACCTAAGCGCCCGAGCCTTGGCTGCGCTTTCAATAGTGATGACGAACTAATGCTTCAGAGTTCTTTTAAATGCCTCCGATAATAAAGATATGCGAAAGAGACTCGTTATTTTTTATATATATTAAATCAAAATAGCCAGTAGACTCGTATACAGCTTTCAAGAGTGTGGACAGGTGCGTAGGCCCACGTCTTCACAATATTACATGTATATATGCAAGCTGTGGTGATATCACCTCATTTACCGGCAGTATCAATTCATTGCGATTTTTATGTCTTGTTTGAAGGATGTCTCAAGAGATTTTTGAAATGATAAAATGAAAAGATTCCATGCATTGTTTGACTTGTACCTACTGTGTATACAAGAAAAACTGACACGCAGATTGTTCGTCGGTGAACTGATTAAATCGTTTGGTACCTGATAAGGCATCAGGTGTTACTTGTTCAAGTGTTCGGTAAGGGGGGCGGCCACAACTACGACCTTTCCTCTGTAATTAAAACCTTCTAATTTATAAGTGTGAAATAGGTGAGACAGGAATTCTCGACTCTTTCCCAGACGATAATTAAAGTTTACCGTGTCTTACTCTAGTATATGCACAAAATTTACGACAGGTAAAAAATGTCAGACTTTCGGTCTGACAAGTATGAAAATTTTGTCAAACTGAAACAAAACCGTCAGGCAAAAACAAAATTATAGCAATAGGCCAAATTATTTTATTTTTAAATGTTTTCATGCGTATTTTCATCGTTTTCAATCAAAGACAATAAAATCATTCAAATAAAGTGTTTTCCACACATTTCATACTTTTTAACTATCTAAGACAGAGCTAAATATACGTAGGCCTACTTTAATACTAAGCATATTTGTATTACTTTAAAAATACTGTACGTTGTTTTATTATTTTTATTATCCATTTTGTCTTTACCATACATGTATTATGCACGTGTAGCTTACAGAAAGGCTTTTCTGCATTAACAATATATGCCCATTGAATTTTCAAATTCTCTTGTCATTGAGTTCAGAAATAAATAACTTTTTATTTTGCCGGTAACGCGTTCAACAAGGGCCGATGTACATTATTCTTCATATGTCTCTGTTGATCTTGATAATATGAGCCCCATTTGTACAAATCAGTGATGCGTATACGGGACGGGATACATAATAATAAAAAATTTTATTTACGTCTCATGTTAAAAAATAGAACCCACCCTACTAAGGGTTATGAGAGACTAAAACCTGTGTTAGGCCTTCTACATTTAAAATGATCACTTATCAATAAAACACACACAAAAAGGATATTACATACAAAACTTTTCAAACCTTCTCTTTGTTGTTACACAAAAAGTCGTGAAAGTTCTTGAATTTTTTGTAAGTAGAATCCCCGTGTAAAACTTCACAGCTTTTACTTTCTTTTTCCATAATCTCATGCTTAAAGTCTTTTCTTTCTTTTTAGACCCCTATTCTTCATTTTTTTCTTCAGAACTTTGTTTTTTTATCGCATTGTATACCCCCGAGTTCTAGTTCGTTATATCCGTTGATTTACTAAGCATTTCTGTTTTTTTTTTAAAGCACCGTTGATCTCCTAATATTATAGTTTTTCTTCCCGCCTTCCCGCCTTCGAAATGTTCAGCGCAAACGCGGTGCCCTGCTTTTGATCCAAACCTGCTATATTTTCCTTTCTTTCTACCATATTTTTCATTCTAACGGGTTTGTTGGGAACTTATTATACCTCATGTGTCAATCTCGCTAACTGTTATTGTAGCAGCGGGACAAAAAGCACGTAAACTCAGCCATGGTTTTTAGCACCGCTGAAAGTGTTTCGACATAGCAGGGCTCCCCTACCCACAATGCAATTTCCATTTCCGGAAAAGATGAAAAAGGTTAATATACCCTGTGCAAACTTCTATCCCCTTCATACTATTTGTATTTTTCTTTACTAGAAATTAGTTATCAGAAGGTTTTTATGTAAAGAAAAATAGTAACTTAGTGACTGAAAGAGAAGTTAAATCCAACTGGTGACATAAATCCCTGGTAGTTACATATAATTGACAAATTTATTATTAAAACCACAGTTTGTGACACAACCAACTTCTACTTGATTTGATAATTTTGTTTATATACAGAAAAAATATCAGTTGTAATTCTGTTTAAACACATTTAGTAAAAATGACTCATACTTTTTATACTCACAGGAGGCCAGAGATGCTAACTGGGCAGTGATAGGGACTTGTACTACTGGTATTGGTCAAGTTGAGGAACAGCTTGTGTCTGACCAGCAGCATATGCCTCTACATGAATTTACCCTTGATAAAAATACTGTTATTATCATGGGTAATTTTAATGGATTAACTTTATAATTGTTTTCTAGTTAAACTTATGTTATACTATATTGAAAATACTTGTGATGAGCATAAAAAAGAAGTTGAAGCAAAAATTACCTCTGTAATGAATTGTTAAACTTCTTTAGGTACATAGCTAGAATGTGGCATTAATTTCTGTGTGATATGTTATAATATTTGCAATATAACTAGATAATTTGTAATTTTAAACCATTTGTTAAAAAGAAGATATATACATTTTAGGTAATGAGGCCAAAGGCTTACCTGAAGATGTTGAAAAACTTTGTACCACAATTCTCAGTGTTCCACCAGGCAAAGAGCTAAATCCATTGGTTGATTCTCTTAATGTTTCAGTGGTTACAGGTAATTTCTTCCTGATTTCTTGAAGAATTTATTTTTTTATATTTAATCATTAAATTTTCATATTTATGACATTTTAAAACTTTCAATAGAGAAAGCGATTTTAGTATACACTAAGTAAGTAAACATGCTTAGGTACATGTTTTTATAATTGCTCTAGTTAGAAAGTTAAAAGGGATGCAGTTATCAGCATATGTTTCTTATTTAGAAACTGTAATGAAAGAATTACAAGTTTGCACCACATCAACCAGGATGTGAATTTTGTCAAGGCTTTAATTGCTCTTTTCCATTGGACATGTTACAAATCAAATTTGTTAATAGTCTATGGCATTTTTTTTTAAATTGTGGCATCAGAACATATTTATTGAATAATGAGGTATTTTGGCACGTTCATATATAATCTCAAAAAAATATTTTTCTTATAGGAATAATCCTCTACACCATTATGCAGTCAAGGTTGAAAATGGCCTGATAAGAAGTGTGAGGGATTAAGCTTTACTATCAGAAATGGCATCAGCATTTTAATCTTTCTTTAAGGGATCGTGATACTGAAAGCTCCTTTCCAATTTACACAGCAGTGATTTCAAAATGAAAATTATTGACTGCTGAATTAAGTCTTTATTTTCAATGAGTCATACCTCGTAAATGCAGTTAACTTGCAGTTACCAAAAATAGACTTATAAATATATCACCACATAATTCAAACAACTGTGCTTGTGAAGTGATCAATAAATATTTGATTTAGAAAGCTTTTGATTGGGTGTCACAAGACATATATTTACGTTTTACAGGTGTAATTAAGACAGGACATAATAATTTGATATTTCAGAGTCTCATTTAGTTCCACTATATCAGTTGTTGCATTTCCTCTGCTCTGATATTTAAAATTGTTATACATAAATGAAATAGTCAACAAGGATCATAGTGCTAAATAAGGCATAGCCCAAGAGCCCAATATAAACAATGTTTTGCCATTCTTGCGTCAACGCCCAGTCCTGTGCTTGCTTCGGCAGGACAACGCCCATGCCCATACAGCCAAGATACATGTAGCACAGGTGTGTTTGCAGCATTAGCTCGCACATCCATTCTCTTCAGTGGTCAGCGTTTAGACCAAACATGTCTCACATTGAGAATGCCTAGGACGAACTGGGCAGACGACTTCATAACCGCCAGCCACAGTCTTCCTTCGTCATAGAGTTGAGAGCTGCACTGGTGGAAGAAAAGAGAATGCCCCAGGTCCGCATTCGAGGTCTTGTACAGTCCGTGCATGAGAAGTAGGTTACTGGCCTGTATTGCAGCCAGGGGAAGCCGCACACATTACTGAGCAATAAACTACCATTTAAGCAACCATTTAAATCATAGATACTAAAAAATTGCGTTTTTTTTTTTCTTTCTTTTTTTTTAAATTTTATTATTATTATTATTTCTTTTGCTTGTTTATATTCCTTTTGAAATTAAATATTTGCTTTATGACCTACTTATCACGTACAATACACCATTGTTTTACAAGGCAATCAAAATATAGAAGGTGGGGAAAAAACAGTTGATATGTAGATTTTGGTAACTAAAACATAATTGGTGCATTATTTCACTTCTTTCCTGACAAAACCAGAAGAAAGCCTTTCAAGAAAATGACCTGGCATCAATTAGACAGGCGTGCTGACAGTTGTGATTAAATAGGCGTTGATGTATAGCTGCTCATGACATGTGAACGAGGTCTGTTTGAAATCGATATCAGTTTTTACCTCAAATTTAAACGCTGCTGTTACATCACAAGCTCAAATTCGCCCCGATATGTTATTGATGCCATTGATACGAGAAATCTGTATTTCACAATAAAAACATTGTGAGTGACTCATAAAAATATAATATATTCTGTTTTCCCACAAAAAGGGCTGTTATAGCTATTATGCTGATATCTGAGCTTGTCTTTAGACCACGTGACCTCCATTGATGGCTATACTCTGTTAAAATCTCTTAAGAGATTTTAACAAAAAACCAAACTTTTTAGAAAAAAACCAGGGACTAACTTTGAATGTAAAAATGGAATCATTAACCATTGGTTAGTATGGGAAAATTGTTGTTTACTCCAGGAAAATTCATTTTTTGGCCGAAACGAAGAGTTATTATCACTTTAATAATCATATAACGTGACAATATTCATTTTCCGCATTATCTAGGTGGATGATTAAAGTCCTAATTATCTTACTAGTACTGAAACCCGTTATACCTGGAGCCTGGGCCCGGTGGCACCAACGGGTCGTAGGCCTAACCATGGACATAATGAGAGAATCTCATTATGTCCATGGCCTAACTAACTCGGGTGTAGCAGTTATTCACGATCAGGGAAAGTAAGCCTGGCGCACGGACGCCAAGCGTTGCGGTAGATAAGATAAGAGTTTATTTAGCCAATTATAAAAATCGGAAATCATTTTCCTTTTGGAGCAATATACAGAGTAAAATAATAAAATAATACTATAAATTAAGAATTTAGTTTTGAGATCAAATTAAAATGCGTCACTGCACTTGGATAAAAGCTGTTTAAAAAGCGTTTACTGCCTTTAAAAGTTAAAAGTCTACTGTTGCTTGGTAAAAAAGTAAAAAGAGATGATGCAGGATGGAAACAGTCTTTCATGGTGTTGACAATTCTTTTCTCCATTCTGTCTTTAAAAATATCATCCAGCTTGGGGAGATCCTGCCAAATAATCCTGCTTGCAGTTTTTACAACGTTTGTTAATTTCTTCCTTTCTTCCCCAGCTGTTCCGCTATACCATATTATAATTCCGTACGCTAGAATGCTTTCAATTACACACGGTAACACACCTGTAAAAATTGACTAAAATAGGCACGCTATCAGTAAAAGTTCTCAATGATCTTAGAAAAATACAGTCTTTGACGTGCCTTCTTTACACCAAGGAGTCTGTTATAACTCCTTGTTTACACTCTTTGCGGTGTTATCCTTTCAATTCAATTTACTGTTAAGGTGTATACCAAGTAGTTTAAATTCCTCTACTCTACTAACTTCAACATTACCAATGGTGAGTGGTACCTTTACATTCTGATTCCTTCTAAAATCCACTATCATTTCTTTGGTTTTAGCTACATGTACGTTCAAGATAAGTTCATTACTCTCGCACCAGCTTAACACCGACTCAACAGATTCTCTGTATGTACTCTCGTCATTATCAGTAACTTGCCCCAACAACAGTCGTATCCGAGCAAATTTGCGCCCCGTTGGTGCAACCGGACCCTGGGCCTTAGGTTAGGGGAAGGCCGCATGTGTATGGAACGCCATTCTCGCAAAAGTCTTGTTGGCATAGTGTATTTAAACCTACTCGCGCTTTCTATATTACACGGGGGCTGATTACACATGCCATTAGATCCACGCATTGCTGGATCCGTGCACCGATAGGTCACTAATCGGTTGATTAATCTCACAAATCATACCTATATTTCGATAAATACGCTAGCTGATAGATCTTCGCGCCGAGAGATCCCTGCAACAAGGAATCCCGAATTCGCTGAACGCCTCTGAAAATCGGACTAAATTAAAAACGCCGTACGTACGTCAGGACAACGTCGAATGAAGTACCCATGCAGTATAGGGCCTGCTGGCTTTTTTTTTTTTTTTTCTTTTTTTTTTGGGGGGGGGGGAATAAAGCACAACAACGGCATTAGGTCGATTTAAATTTCAAAACTGAAATCCGATTAATAAGATGGCTTGGATGTATCCTCTGATATCAGGGGGCTTCCATATACAAAAATAAAGTAGGCCCTATGCCATGCAACATTTTGTAACGGCTAGCCTATTAGCGCACCCTGTAGTCAGAGAGTGAATTAGATGGTATGTAACAGATATATTATCTTAATGACAAATTTTCAGTATTGAACCGTCGCAATCTCGGATTTGGCGAGCGTAACATTAAAATTATTACAAAACCATCCCCTCGTTAAGGCTACTACCGGGACATTACCGTAGGACATCTTAATTTTAACGTTAGGCCTATATTCATTTGATTTAAATATGGTTTGAGGTAATATTTTTTAAAATTGTTGAAAAGATCCATTTCATATTCATTCTTGTTTGACACCAGACATACGGTCTAGATTTAAATGAATCTTCATTTCCTGAACCAGTTTTTCCTTCGACTTGACTGCATGGCCAGGACCCGCTGAAATAACTGCTTTCATCGACCGATTGACATGTCTGGTCTGTAAGCCTATGCGTCCATGGGGTTATTACGGGCCTCACAAACAATAACTGCCCCTAGGAACCATAATTTTGGGAGTACAAAAGACTCGAGCTAACGTTAAATTAAGTATCCCAACGTAAAATTAGCACAGCCATGGTCCACACAAAATTTTGTATTTAAAGTTTGCGGGTTCTATCGCTTTGTTCGTGGCTGCTCATTTTACGTTGGGCTTCTGAAATTCGTGGCTCGAGTCGTTTATATGGGCATATGTGTTCACAAATTATAAGCTCGAATCGCTAACGTTTAATCCGTTTAATCCTGTATTTACCCGTAGTAGGAAACGTGATAACGTTAGGTAAGCTAGCCCCAACCTAGATTATCGCGATTTAGACCCACGCTATAAACCCTAACCTTCACTAATCTGTCACACAGACCCTCAGCTTTGTCACACTTTTCAGTTTTAAACGTTTCAGTGATTGTTTGCGGTCGCAAATACCTAGAAACCGCTCAGTGCTTGATAGCTTTGAGTTGGGACTGTCTTGAAGCAAATTTAATATTGACCTCAAAAGTGACCTCAAATGGGATGATGTCAGACGAGTCCACTATGGAGGGGTGTACTCGGTCATTGTCTTATACTTCTGAGAGTTGTGGCTGTGTCATTTTATGTTTAGATCAGTGTAAACCTCACTTTATGACTTTAAGGTGTATTAAATCTTAGAAAACTTTGAAACTGTTGTAAAAATCAGATTTTTTCGAAAATATATACGTAAAAATGACAAGCTGTTTTCCAATAAAAATAGCACAACCTACCTAAAGCAGTTGCTATATCAAAACTGCAATACAGCGACTCACAATTTGTAAATCGTATCCCGATTTTTGAAGGTAAGATAACACGCTGATAATCATATATGGGTAAAATGAGTTTTACTTAATATTCTGTTTAGAAGCCAATTTGTATATTGAGCAGTATCGGCATTTTTGATCGATTCCCTTACCTTGAGCCCGCCTTATGCATACACTGTACTGTAACTAACCCAAGTCAAAGAGAACTGACACTGCTCAGCCGGTTTACCTCAGTGGGGTTAGTGGGTAAGAATCTCAGTGTTTGTTGTTTTATTTTTGTGTGAACATCAACCAGGAATGTACTCTCTGTGAATAGTAGGTTCCAGAATCGACTAAATGATATAAAATAATATACATGTAATTATGAAAAGTCCCAGAAGATTTGATGCAGTATGCCACTCACTTGTCATACATATGTCTTTGATTTGCAGTGCTTTTCTATATTCACTCTATGTTCAAATAAATTAGTTTGTCAATCAACTGGACACTTTTCTAATGTTTTTATGAGATATTTATTTAAGACTTGATGCAAATAATGGTAATTCCAGAGATGAACATCACAAAATCAGAAAGTAAATGTCAAAATGATTCATTTGAATAGCAGTTTGTAGGGCATGATGCTCAAGTTAAATGCCAATGGTGGTCCAAATAACAGCTTGTAAAACTGTGCAATGTATTTTTGACCATTTATTCATTTTTATGAATATGTAAGTACCAGGTACCATAAAATCCTCCATTTTTAATGGTGTTCTCCTACTGGGTAGGTTTGGTAACAGTGCCTGTTATTTTCCATCTGTGGTTTCCAATTTTGTCAGCTAGACTATCTTGATGGTTTGTGTGATGGGGAGGAGGGAATGATTATTTGCTGCTTTATATTAAATGAAAAACAGTTACTGGCCAATACATTTTTCATGGGAAGTATGTAACATGTAAATACATATACGTAAGGTCTGTTTCTAATACGGAGTTTAGTTGGTGGTCTCCCCTATTTCACATGGAAGCTGTCATGGGAAACACAGTGTCTATTGGTAAAAACGAACAGATGTTGCATTTCTAAAGGGTAATTGGTGAGCAGCATTTCAAATTTATGCAACATGTGGGGAGAGATGTTCTGAATTCTCGATTTCATGTACCTAGATTGTTTCCAAACATCATTGCAGATTTGTCTATTAAGTAAATGTGATAGAGTTCAGTTTTAAAAAGCATTTGGTTACAAGGTTTAGTAATTTGCTTTTCAAACAAGTGCAGTGAAGAACCATTTATTTATCCTATCGCCTGTTTTGCTTACAGTGAAGAGGAACTCTAACCAACTATGGACCCATTCCTTGTTAGCACATGCCATTTCCATCAACACCTTTTTCAAAACGAACAAATAAATAACAGAAACTGAGAGAAAAAAAGGAACGAACTGAAAAAAAAAATCTTGTGTGTTACTCATCTATATCAGATATGTAGTTGTGGCAACAATCTAAAACTATCTAAATTAAGTATGTGCAAGCAATTGTTGAAAAGATAAGCCACATGGTATAAAATCATGTCTGGGTCACATGTATACTAGTATCCCAAATTTCCATGTGAAGCTGGGCATGGGAGGAGGTAGCAAGTAATGACCTTTAGACAGCATGATTTGACACACTACAGGATTACTATCTTGTGATTGGCTTAAAATGTCAGGAGTTCTGAGCTTACCTTGATAAAAAAAGGTGCATGTAGTCTGGCACGTTATGAAGTAGATAAGGTTACACTGTGCACTGAATGTATAAATATAAGTGTTAGGGCTTGGCACAGAGTTTGGTCTTGTGAGTTGTTTGATGAGCTGATGTGCCAACTGTCCACACCTGATAACTGAAAAGCTAAGAGGTGCTCCATTAGAACAGTGTCTTTCAATTTTTAAAGTGAACAAAAAAGGTAGGCCTGTGTTAATTGATTACGTAGCATATTGTAAACTGGTGAACACATCTGTAAAGGTAACCTTTTCATAACTGGGAAGGGGGGGGTATGCACATGCATCTAGTGCATATGTAATACCTTTAGCAGTGGTTAATAACCCTTCAGAATATGAATATCTACATTTTGTGATATGATGCTCCTTGCATATTGCCAGCCTTGCCTACAAACTGCACAAATAAGATTGATAATGGGCTAACTTGTCTGTAAAGATTTTTTTCGTATACTTTTGCCCTTTGTAAAATATTTGAAGATCTAACTTACTGACATTGCCATAAAATGCAAAAGGTGAAAATAAACTTGCATGTTTGTAAATCAAACTAGTATTCTACCTTCAGTTTATTTTTTGACACAATAAAAATTTACAGCATCTTATGATTAAGTGGAAGAGGCACCATTAACAAATTTATTCTGTAACATAATAAAAGCTGTATGACACAGAAATCAATAATAGAAATGTTACTTATGTTTGCTGAATATTTGATTATTAGGTCCTGGTTAATTGTCAGCAGAAAAATTAGAGATATTTTGTTGATATCTGTAAGAAGAACAGCATTTAAAAAGAAAAAAAAATTTGGTTGTATTGTTTTAACCTTCATGAAGAAAAGTTTGATATCAGAGAGATGTGTTATTTGTTAGGAATGCATTTTGTACTAGTAATGGCTTGCACTGGTTCAAACCATTATAGATTACACTTCGAAAGCAATAATAAAATGGAACTAGAGCTCTAATGTCAGTCAGCAGGCCTTTGGTAGTTATTGATTTGAGTCTGTGTTATTCACCCTACTCCTAATATTATGTTTCTAAGGCATTCTTGCTTAATGTGTATTGGTATGCTTGTTTTATTTTAGGTTTAAGAAGATGCCACCAACACCAACTGAGCTGAGACACCGTGCCGCTGGTGACACACTAGAAAGTTTACCAGTTATAGAGCTAAATGACAGCAACAAGAGCACTGATAATGGAAAGGAACAGAAGCTTGTTGGGGTTGATGGGAATTGGTATGATGTTACCAACTTCTTAAAACACCATCCTGGCGGCCCAGTGATAGAACAATTCATCGGCCAAGATGCAACCCATGTGTTTCATGCTTATGGTCACGAAGGTGTTCTCAAACACCGCAAACCAGTTGGCACCTACAAAATGCCAATACGCCATCCAGCTGATGCAGACTTTGAGAAACTTATCCAATTTGCGAAAGAGAAGGGGTACTTTGAGACTGACTTTGTTTGGTATTTGAAAAAAATGTTTGTAGCCTTCATGTTGCTTGCTGTGGCTTTCTACTTAGTTATAGGTTTTGAGCAGTGGTATGTTCATTACCTAGGAGCAGTAGCACTGGCATTCCACTGGCAACAATGCGGTTTTATCATGCATGATTTCATGCATTCCCAAGTGTTTCGAAAGCACAGTAAAGATGGCCCATGTGGGACCATATTTGGAGCAGTATTCTTTGGCATAAGTGCCTCATGGTGGCGTGATGAACACATCATTCACCATGCCATGACCAATGTTGTTAATGTTGCACAACGATTCGTTGATCCTCAGATGTGGGAATCTGCTTGGGCACAAAATGAAAAACTGTTTCCTCTGTTCAGGAACACTCTCCAATACTGCTTTGTGAAGATCCAGCATATCACATTTATTCCAATCGTGGTCTTTATTGGTCGGTATGAAATTGTCACTGATAGTTTTCGTCAAGAACGCCGTTGGCCTGAGTGGGTAGGTGCATGTATACACTGGATGTGGATATGCTTCTTACTGTCTCATTTACCAACCTGGAAGGAAGTGTTTACTTTTTATGTCATAGCAGCAAGTGTAGAAGGCATATTCCACTTTCAGCTAATCCTTAGTCACTATTGCAAAGCATTCTATACTACTGATGAATTTCACAAGTACAGTTGGTTTGAGTATCAAGTTTTGTCCAACATGAACATTGAGACATGGTGGTTTCTGGACTGGTATTATGGAGGACTAAATTATCACATTGAGCACCACTTGTTCCCCACTATGGCCCGCAAGCATCTCCGCAGTATTGGCCCTTACGTTGAAGAGGTGTGTAAGAAGCATGGTATAGATTACGATATGTGCCCTTTTGCTGAAGCCATGTGGAAAACCCTAGTTCACTTGAAGAAAACTGGAAATCATTTCACCCTAGATCCCCGTTAAGAACGTTAAATATATAGCATGTGTAAGATGCTTAATTATCCAAGGTTTTGAATTATATGTAATTATTATTATACATGTGGAATTATAAAATAGATGTGTTGGATTTTGTGATAACTTGTAGTTACTAATTTGCTTTGCATCAAAGTTTTGATTAATATTTGATACTGTTTGACTTTTGATTGATTATTTCATGTAACGTTTAAATTACTCTGAATGTAAAATGGATTTTGTGATATACTGATCTGTGTGTTTAGTATCTGGTCAGTTGATCATAGTAAATAAGTGTTATTTTTTTCTTTGAGTACATGTTATAATTTGATTTAGTAAACTAAATATTAAGCACAAAATATATGTTATTGTTACATTAGTATGATCTTAGTTTTACTAGTGTTAAGTTTCTAACAGCATTATAGTAAGGTGTTTTTCATCTTGCACATTAGGTGACAATTTTTATTGTCAGCCTGAGTGATGTTATTGAACAGGGATTCACATAATAGTTAAATAGTTAACAAATATTGATACTAACCCAACAAAGATAAATACAAATTGCACATGTATAGATAAAATTTCACAATCTGTTTCAACTTGAATTTATTAATCACTCACTGTTTTCTGTGTGAAGCTTTAATAGATCTTGCTACAGCTTTAATAACCATCACAGCAAGGTTTGAGGAGAGATGGGCAATCACTGTTCATGCATGGCAGGACTTAGAGCATCACAGTGAAATTTTCTTAAGTGTAATGCATTTTAAGGTGTTTGCTTCTTGTTCGGCAATTTGCAGTGTGGAAAAATTCTCTTCAAAGAGTGCTTTTGCTTATGTGATCTGGGCTTTTAAACTAGATGCAGTCCATTGTTAAGAACAAATCGCGAAAACTTCTCTCTCTGAACCATGTTTGGTAATAATTTCAGTAACACCTTGTGACAACCATGTTTTGCCTAATAATTGACATTGCTTTAATAATTTAATTAAATCACTACAAAATATAACTTTTTTATTGAAGAACGTCTCCATAGTTTTTTTTATGTAGTCCAGGAAAAAGCCCCTGCCCCCCCCTTAAAAAATAATAATTAAGGTGCTTTCTATTAAATTCAAAATGAGTTAAAGATCAAAGAAATTTCATATCAGAACATTACACTTGAGACAGTTAAGTTAGAATGAGGTCAAGGTTTTGTAAAAAAAAATGAAATTTAGCCATTAAACCAAGCATACTGTAAAGGGCTACATTTTCATTTGACAATCTTCATTGTTCTAAGTAAAAATGTTTGTCTTCTTTGGAATAATCATGTATATGTGTAATTCCACTTTTTACTTTTAAGAACATGAATAAGAGCATAATTCTTTAACTCATTATTAAAATTTAACTAGAATGTGATGGTATTTGACTGTTCCACTCATTCTCTTGTGATTGTTTTGCTATATATATATGGTTTGCTTTTATGAACAGCTGTGATTGTGTTAGCGCATGTTATTAATTTATTTAATATTAAATTGAAATTTACAGAACAATTTTTTGTAACATTTTTTAAAAACTTTATTTTGAATATGTATACAGAGTTTCATCTGTTATCAGTTTCATTCTTAGTGCATTATATATATATATATATATATATATATATATATATATATATATTGTTTTTCATGTGAAACTAAAGCGCAGGCAACCATTTTTCACTTTTTGTGCAGATAAACCAAAGAAACATTAACAGGCTTTTTTAAACAAATCAGGATATATTTTTGTTGGGGATCCGTAATTTTTGTACTTTAATTTATCATTTTTTATGTTAGTGCAATTTGTTAATTTCTGTCCATATTTGTTGAACTCTGTGTGGAATATTAATTTGATGAGTGTTTATTTGTTTCATTTCTTTATTTTATTATAATGGTTTTCGGGAACAAAATTGCAATTTTCTTGAAGGTACCAAAAGGTGCATAGGAATTATTTCATTTCAGTTACTTAGGTTTGCTTTAATTGCCTATACTTTGTTGTTTTTTTAGAACTTACTGTTTATTGATGATTTATTTGAACAGCATTGACAATTTCAGAAGAGAAGACATTCCATTACGGCATATACATTTTGATTGATTTTCTTCTCATCATATTTGCTATTTTGTTTCTTTTATTGGGGTTTTGTTGACTGCAGTGATTTATTTTCAGGTTGTTAAGATATGAATGATTGTAAATACTTAGGACTTTAACAATTTGTTGGGCACTTAGCATGTTAAACGTATAACAGTTGTTTGCAATGTATGAATTCTTATGCCAATAAATTTGACAGCTTTCTGCATTCACATTTGTTTTGATTTAAAATACTTTTGTCTTGTTTTTTGACTACAAGATCATATTAGAATAAGGTTGGGGATAATTTATTTAGTGCTATTTATTTGACAGACTGAAACCCAAAGAAGTCTTTTTGCGGAAATATATTTTTTACATTTTTTGATTCTTGCTCTGTCAAATGGAGTTGTACTGCAGTACTCCTTGGTCAATTCAATAACAACAGCAATTTAAAGCACATTGTTTCGAATTTCCTAAGTATATATATGATGTTGTATATCATAAACATGCAGTAAAGGCATAGTTGATGGGTCTAAAGTAACCTATAAAAACAAGTTTTGTTAAATTGGGTAAGTACCGGGTACTTCCAGAATTTTAAGAATTGTTTCCTTTCTTCGTGTCCTTTGCACCTGTATGAATCAGATGGTCTCAGAATTAAATGCTATAACTATACAACTATACAAACAAGGCAGACTTTATGTTACAAACCCCACCCCACGCCGTGGTATGCATAATTGCTTTATTTTTGTTTAATGCACAAAAAAGCAAAATATCTAGTGCCATATCAAATTATGTTGACGATACTCGACTTTACACAAATCTCCGTCTCATGCTTGCTCGAACAGCCTCCTGTTATGGGAATGTACCAATCTGACTTGAATCCACTTGTTTAGACTACCCGGAATCATTAATCATTTTTCTTGATCACATACCGGGTATTAGTATATTATTACTATAATAAGAAATAGTGGAACATTTCCATAGTGTAATATTGGGCCACTGCCACCAGAGACCGTATTTTCACCTGTGGGTATATATCGTAACAATGCAGGGGAGTAAAAGGTGCGGGAGGAATATATGATTGCTGCGGCTCTTCATTGTGTTTGTTGGGGTGCATTCTGTTTAACTGTCATCACTGACTTTATTCGGCGACCCAACAACTGCATCTTTAGCTCTACCAAGGCTTTTCTTGAGTAACAGCACCACCTACAAACAACTTGTTTTTCAAGAAATGCATTGGAAAGGACCGAAGTACGTTCACTTCCTCCATCTACAAGGAATTGAACGGACAGTCACTGAGTGGTGAGGATAGGATTTCTGATTGCTGTGAGTGTGAAAGCGACGTTCCATATCCAAAGGTATTTCACTATTTCAATATTTGGGATTGACGAGGACCTCATTGAGGTTGGACATGATCTGATTTTGACATTTTAGTATGGTACCTTACCGGTACTTCAAGTATCTATTACATGAAACACAGTACTAGTTTAGCAATTGAATTTAAAATTAAACAGGTTTGACTGTTGATGAGGAAATGGACTATCAAGGTGGCTGTATCTAAAAGCTGCTGTACTGGGTAACTTAATTCAGAAGTTTCACATTGTGCATGAACTACAGTAGTTTACTTGAAGAAAACAGCTAGGTACTCGTAATGGTTACATGATAATGATATGTCATTGTTGTTATATTCATTACAGTCGGGTCCCTTCAAGTTCAATTTTTTTTTTTTTTTTTTTTTTTTTTTTTTTTTTTTTTTTNTTTTTTTTTTTTTTTTTTTTTTTTTGTAGACTTGCCCTTCAAGAAATCAACGGAAAATAGCTCTTTTTCAAATTTGAATGGGCACTGTAGAAAACATATAACAGCTAAAGCTCTCAAATTAAGCACATATGTGTGATATCATGTGAAGAATAAGTTCTGTTAATTTCAATCCAAGCAGTTGAGTACATTTTGAGACAGAGCGCTTTAAATGTGCAGCAAACCGTAACGCTAATCCCTTCAAGATCTCGACGAAAACCGGAAGTGCGTCATGACGTCAATCGTTTGTACTTGGAAACTGCTGGGTGATTTTCCGATGAGAAATATTTCGTGGCTTATACAAATGTTCGGAAAATGTCCATGCAGATAAAAGAAAATTCACTAATCAAAATTGAAACTGCGTAATTACATAGAAAAACATTGTGCATTTCTGACCTCGACTTGTCAGTGTAAACATAGAAGTACTTCTATGGTGTAAACAAAGTGTACTGAACGCATCGCCAGCAAGCACGTGAATGCCGCATTTGATACTTTGTATCAGACGCTTCATTTTACTTGACAACACAGTGTTTACGATGGGCATGACAGGAAACAATTGGAAAAGAAACTGTTTCCATTTATTTCCATGAAATATGAGTAATATATGAGTAATTTTGCATGACAGCTGTCTACTAGTAGTATGGCCTCAGATAGATCACCAGTAATATGTGGTGTAAAGTTTTGTTGAACAAGTAAGATGGCAGCCCAACATGGAGGCAGATATCACCTTTAGGCAAAAAATTAAAGAACACTTGCATGTTTTACAAAGATGACTTATGTAATAAAATATATTATATTATATTATATTATATTATATTATATTATATTATATTATATTATATTATATTATATTATATATTCACAAATTCATGTACAATTAATACATTCTGTAAACTGCAGTGTTCTTGTGCACACAGAACTGTGAATGTATATGTTGGGTACTAGTAATGTAAAGAGGTTGGTGCTTTTGAGTGAAAGCCTTATACACAAGGCATTTAAAAAATAATAATGTAATGCAAATTGACTTCTAGATTCAAACAGACACAGACCAATGATGCAGGAGGAACAAGGCATTTTCATATCTTTGTACTCAGACTGTCAAGAACATGATTGTTTATCATTTACCACACCTTCAAGGAAATACACAGCAGAGGAGCTATGCTTGATAGCTGCCAAAAAGATTGGACTTTCCCCAATAACATTCCACTTGTTTGGGCTGGTGACTCCTGATCTTCATCTTTGGTTACCACCAGGAAAGGTTTTGATGGTATCAGATTCTTCAAGACAAGAATACTTGTTTAGATTACGTTTTAAACTTCCATTTAGAGTGGACAGTTCTAATCTCTGGATGCTCATCAGGAGAGACTTGAAAGCATTTCATTATTACTTTCTCCAATGCAGACATGATTTTGTGAACGATGTCCTCAAGACGAGGTATGGAACAACTCTCTCAACCAGTCATAATCTTGGTTTAGCGGTGTTAGATATGTTCAGAGTTGGTGTACAAAATAAAATGACATCAGCTGATCAAGTGTTAGCAAAGTATGGATACAAAATATTCCTCCCACCAAGTTCTCTGGGTGGGTTTAATAAACTGCTTGATAGTGTGAGACTAAAAAAAAATTTCAAAGATGAGCTAGATAAACTTTTTACTGACCAATCTTCTATTCAAGCTCAGAATCTGACAAGTATCAAACATCGTTATCTAAATGGATTGTTTACAAGAGTGGCAGTGTACGGAAGTGAATTCTTGCAGGGAAAAGATCCCAGTGAAAATATATGGGTTGATCCACATCATGAGACTTGCCCGGGCATTTACACTTCAAAATTGATAAACAAGGTTTGTTAAATGTATCTCTTATGTGGATATATAATGACAAAAACACATTATTGTTTATGGAAAGAAATTTCAATGCATTATAAAGAAAGTGATGTCTTGCTATGATGATTCTAGAATTGAATTAGTAAATGGTGCATGCACAGGAATTTAGTCAGGATTTTTAAAAAGGGAGGCCAAATGCATTTTCTTGCCTTGGCAGGCTGTCTAGGCTCCAGGTGCTCCAATAATTTCAATCTGAAAGAAATGGCTGTCCAGAATTGAAATGATGAGTACAAATGCTAACTGGATGGTGACCTGGCTTGTGACCTGTACATGAATCATTTTATTAAATAGTTCATTACTCTGAATGATTTTTTTAGTTGAAATTTGAGTTGACATGATAGTTGACACTTGAGATTTGTACCTTTCTTTCTTTTTTCTTTTTGAAATTGAAGTTTTTTTATGGAGATGAACTAAACTGATTATTTCCCCTTTGCAGAAAAGTGTCAAAGAGCATCTTTGTAAAATAGAGGACATTGACTTCATATCTGTGGTGCCACAATCTCAACATGATTTTGAAGTTCGCATCCAGTCAAGAAACAGTTCACTTAAGGTGTTGTTCTTTTGTACTTTTTTATTTGGATTTGCTGGAGGTTTGCATGTGCAAAGTTTTTCACTTAAGACAGTGTACTTAGAAAATGGAAATTCTGTAGTACTGGTGCACCATGAAAATCTGACTCTCCTAAAAGGTGTCTCCCCAGTCAGATTTCAAGGATCCTAACATGTACTAGTTTCAGGGGGTTTTACTCTCTTATACAAGTTCTTCACAAATTCACTCCCTACTGTTTAGTTAAGTTAATTCATTGGTCATGTCGAATTAGGAAACTCTCTTACATAATGTTAATTTATCAGTACAGTCTTATAACTAGATGTGAAAAGGGTCTAAATGTGCTCATCTGTTCTCAAAACCCACAGAACTACAAATATACACATCGTCATCCTCATAAATTATTACATTTCAGTAGCTCGGGTTCTTTATGTTGAAGAAAAGTACTAAATTATCAATTATAACTGTTTATGTGTGTTTGTGTGCATGCATGTGCAAGCATGCACAGGTGTGTGATCTAACTGTGAAACTGCTTGCATGCCAGTATAAATTTGTTTCAATTGATTGTTTTTATCTCCATAAGCCCCTGATGTTTGGTAAACAAGAGCAGATGGAATCTTTTGTCAGCTGCGTAGATGGATACTGCCGTCTGATGAAAGACTTCTATTACCACCCTTGTTCAAAGATTACATCCCCGTTATTAGCAGAGATGATGAAGAGCAAATGCCATGGGCCAGTTACGTAAGGATGAACAGCAAATGATAAACTTTTATGTATATGTATATATGTACTAAAAGTGTAGTAGAATATGATTGATAATTTTATGACAGTATATAATACCATCTTATTTTAAAGAAAGGGCTTTGAAAATAAGAAATGCACTTTTTTCCTTGACTAATTAACAAACATTTATATGAAAGATTTGCATATGTTTTATACTAACTGTTTACTTTTAACATAGGCCTGATTGGGCAAAGAAGCAGTTAGAAAAGAGAGAGAACAACACCCCAGGGACATACCTTCTGAAACAGTCATCCCACACATTTGACCAACATACTTTGTTTCTTGTCACACAAGCTAGGATAGTTGTATTTGAGATATCTTTTACTGATGAAGATGGGTACAGGCTTGAAACAGGTGATAATACAGAAAAAGAACCTGCTTTTGAGGATCTAAATGCCCTGCGCAGACATTATCATCTTGCTGGGAGAAAGAAATTGTCTCATCCTACTGAAGGAAGCATTGATTTTGTTTTGAAGACACCACTGATACCAGGGAAAGGTGGGTATTAAATAAGAGTTTTAAGTGTGTGTGCTAGACTTGGTTCATAGTCTTGTTTACATGCTTGTTAAAAGACTGGGTTGGAAACTTGAGACTATAACTTTGAGTTTTGACTTACTATGTGCTGTAGTGTTTTATATTATCAGATATGTTCTCTATTTTAATTATATTCTATTGAATTTATGCCATCTTCAGACCAGTGCCCTAGTATTCTGCTGTGTGCGCCTTTATTGGATGATGAAGATAAGGAAGAGAAAGAAAAGAAAGATGAATTGCTATACAGCAGAACAAACACTCCCTACCTTGTCTTGGAAACACAAATTAAGAAAAGCGAGATACATGGTAGCAGGGCAGGTCAGTTTATTTGACATGTAAAAAAAATACATATATGAAAAATTTTGGGCCTCAAGTGATTGTTGGTGAACATTATAAAAAGAATGTTTGCATTGTTATAAACCAAAATTTAGACCCATCTAGTAAGTTGGTAATATAAGACATTTAGGAAAAATGGTGTTAATGACCATGACTGTCTAATATGTTCTTGTGTGATTGTTTATTAGTGAATTCATTTTTGCATAATTTATTAATTCCTATAACTAGATTTTTTTTAGTCAACATATTTTTGTACTAGTTTGTATAAACAAAAATGTTCCTTATACATTTGGCTTGGTTGTAAGTTTATGAGGAAAAAAGTGCCTTGACCCAGAACCACTCTTATCATGTGTAAAAGTAGAGAAGCACACAGAGAAGGCAGACCTCTGCCAAGACAGCTCAATTTTTATAATAATGAATAATTGGTTAATTAAAGGATCACCACCAAAATGTAATTGGTAGCCAATTTGTGACCTTCCCATAAAGTTTCAACAAAATCTGTCCATCTTTTTGCATAGTGTTGCTAGCAGACAGACAAGTAAAACAAAAATGATAACCACATCAGTAGAAGCGAAAAAAGGTATCTGGCAAGAGCAACCCCCTTAATAGTTTTATCAGCACAAAGGGGACCCACTCCTCTCTGGACTTCAATTTTCCTTATTTATTTCTACTTACAGAACACATTGGTGCTAATCAGATTACCAAGGTGCAGTTTGGGCAGCTATATTTTAAAGGCACAGATTCTTCCAGGTGGAAGGAAGTAGCAATCAAGAGTCTAGCTTCATCTTCACCTAAATTACTGGAGGTAAGTAACCCATTTTACACTACATGGGCTATGATTTTAGCACATCCCAAACAGATCTTAATGTGAAAAAATGTTTATTTACTAGTAAACTTATAGTATGATGAATATTTTATGCATGTCAAGATTTTTTATTCTTGCAAAAAAAAAAAAAAGTAAAATCCTAATAAGAAGTTAAATTGTTTTGGAAAAATTCCTCCATTTTCTTTTAGGCTTTCCAACAGGGTGTAAGCAAGGCATCAGCATGGACAAGTCGTTACATCATCAAAAGCCATGCAATTTGTTTAGATCGTCCTTTCAGAGTCCTGATGGAAGAGGCGCGCATGGGATCTCTTTTAGATCTGCTGAGGAATCGCGAGAAAATATTTTCTCTTTCCCACCTTGTGAATATTGCTGAACAACTGGCAGAAGCACTGATGTATTTGGTAAGGCCTGCTGGGAACTGGTGTAGTAATATTTCACCAAAGCTAAAGTTAAAAGTCAATTGATTAAACAAAACTACGTCTTTTGTTGCTGATACTGTTTTCGGGCCACAGTTTGTTTCAGCAATTTCAGTTTACTTTTTTTGCGAAATGTACTGAAAATATTTCTTTGAAGTTCTAAAAACCTTTTCCTTTCAGGATGAAAATAACTTCACCCATGGAAATATCCGCTGTCGAAATGTTCTTGCTTGCAGTGAAAACACAGATGGTTATGTGGTAAAACTTTCAGACCCTGGACTCATTTACTTTTACTCAGGCTTGGCCTCTGACAGTGTCATAAACATAGAAAGGTTAGAAAGCACATTTGTTAACACCATTACTGCCAATCATTATTTTTGGTGTACTTTAAATTTCCTAGGTTTTACAGGGCAAAAAGGACTGATTGGCAATGAAAATCAGCATGATCTAATTTTTTTTATGTACAGACACAGATGTGTCTGTACATATTGCCATCACCTGCGTCTGTCGTCGCCATGCCGTCCCTGTCGCCGTCGATGTCGCCGTCGCCGTCGCCGTGCACTTTCATCGTTAACACGATAAGTGGAAGACAGTTTTACTTTTTGACTTTATATTTACAGAGCTGATAAATATTCATAAAACGCAGGTCAAGTTCGAAAATCAGCATGTTTGGGCAATTATTGTAGAAGTTATGCTGTTTTTTCACTTTTTAGCTTATATGCAACACTGTTAACACATTTCAAGGAAAACTGATAGGCCTGTTGTCATGAAACTCACAGGAGTAATCAATATCACTAAAACGCAGGTCAAGTTCGAAAATCAGCATAATTGGGGCATTATTTTAGAAGTTATGCGGTTTTTTCACACTTCCTCAGATTCAATTCTTAGGCATGTTAACAGTCTCATTATTTAACTAATAAGATACGTAAAGGTGTTTGTTTCACATTTCCTGCATCTGTACAACATTGTTAGTTGATTGTGTAAAAATGATGGTAAACTTATTATCATTTATTATGTAATAGAGTTTCAAATATGGAAATAAAACTCATATCATTGCAGTTTGTCAGATTCAATCATTCACGATGTTCAGATTCTCAGAATGGAGGAAATTGGACATTTAACACTGTTCTATTGATATTTTCCCCATCTCATCAATTTTCTTAGTAGATCATATAAAAATGGCAGTAAACTGTTAATTTTGTTTCATGTAACAAAATTGTTAAAAATGGGAAAAAAAAACATTTCAGAAGATTGCTGTCTTGTTTACATTTTGGCATTTTCAAGGTGTGACTTTGAAGTTCCATAGACCTGAAGACCTTTGCTAGTCACATTTTCTGAATATCCATGATACTAATATTTTATTCTTAAAAATTGATGGTCATCACGCTGTTAAACATTATGTAATATTGCATCAAAATTTGAAGAAACCCCTATTTTGGGCACTGCTCCCATGATGGCCATTTAAGGAAAACCATGTCACTTACTGTTCTCAAACTGACAGGAAAGAAACATGGGACTAAAATACAGCTTCAGTAGGCAATGCAGTCTGTTTGGTAATTCTTACTGCCAGTTAAACAGTTTTTTTGTGAAAATTTAATTTTTCACATATTGGCATTTTCAAGGTGTGACTTTGAAGTTCCACGGGCTTGAAGACCCATGCTAGTCACATTTTCTGAAAATCCACGATACACATATTTTATTATTAAAAATTGACGGTCATTATGCTGTTAACCATTATGTAATATGGCATCAGAATAGAAGAAAACACAATTTTGGGTGATGCTGCCATGATGACCATTATGGGAAAACCATGTTACTTATGATTGCCAAACTTTCAAAAAAAAAATACAGGACTAAGATGCAGCCTGAGTTGGAAAAGCAGTCTAATTGGCTTCTTTTTCTGGAACTTGTACATTTTCAAAGTGTGAACTTGTTACACATTTTACTTACATTGGTATTACCTGTTGAGCATAATTAAAATTTGATGTTGAATTTGCAGTTTAACATTATGTACTTCTGCATCAGAATTGACAGTAGCCTATTTTGTACATAGTTATTTCCTGTTTTTTGTCTGTACATTTGACAGCTTTGCTGCCTTGTTATTTATTACTTATTATTAAAATTTCTTATTATTTTTTTAAGATACCAAGATTTTTTTCATAGGTTATTGTGACATCTGCCCAGTAATTGCAATTGTATTTTTGTTTTATTTGAAATTTGCTAATGGGCTTTGTTTTGTGAAAAGGTAGGTTGAGTTTAAAAAAAAATAGGCATGGTAATGGATAATTTTCACAAAAGTTATTGGCATATTTTGTTGTGTTTTGCAATCCTGTTGTCCAGTGTTTTACTTTATCTATTATATTGTGCTTTGTAAGGAGTTGTTACATGTTACAATTGTTACAGAATTGTATTTTATTTTGTTTTCGGCTACCAGAAGTAACCTTTTCCAATTTTGCATTATTTATTTATTTATTTATTTATTTATTTATTTATTTATTGAAAGTGAACTAAAGAACTGAACCTGCACTCTCGGTTTAGATTGAGAACTTGTGTAAAAATATGTTTTGTTCATAATGTCACAGATGATACTGTTAACAATGACAAGTTGGATATTTTTTCAATGTTTTCTGAAATGTGCCTGTTTCTTTTTAAAGGAAGCAATGTGAATAACATTTTCCTTTTAATTGCTTATATACTGCCTATATTTAGTTATGATTAATTTTGAAAATTGTAGCCGGAATGGCTTTGTTATATTTTCCATTGATTTGCAGGTTACCATGGTTGGCACCAGAGCTGCACAACAATTTTCATGCCTTCAATATTGAGTCCGATGTGTTTGCTTTTGGTGTGACACTGTGGGAGATTTTATCAGTAGGTGCTAGGCCCTTGGAATCTGAATCTGCAGAAATGGTATGTGCTGATTGAAATAAATATTCACTGATTTTTAAACATAAGTTTAGAAGAATCTGCCTGGTGAGCCTTGGAAATTAAAAAAAAAGAAGCACACAGAGAGGTGCATGAACAGTTAGACAGATGGACAGACAAAGAAAAGCTAGTTGTCTCATTATTTCCACTACTTGATGGTGGTTAAAATGGTTGTACCAGTATATATATAACAGTGATTAACAACAAATTTTGTTCTCTTGTCTAAGCCTGTTAAATTACTGTGAACATGACACTAATTGTAACCTGCCTTTGGCATGAAAACTTAATTATCATCTATTATTGTGTCTCCAGACTCAAGTCTTCTTCAGCAGTGGAAGAACCCTTCCCATTCCAATGTGTTGTAAGCCATGCATGACTGACAGAGAAGAGATTGCAGATACAAAACGGAGTCTACATGTATTGGTAAATGAGTGCACCAGAGCTGTTGCTAGTGAGAGGAAGCCAACGAAGTCAATTCTGAGAGACATTAGACAGATGCAGCTCAATGGTTTGTAATTGCATTTAAGCTATTTAAATGTTATCTTAATGTTTGATGAATGTATGTAGACTCATAAACATGATAAGATAATAAAACTTGACGCGTGAGAAAAGCCCAAGCAGTAGGTCATATATTTTCCAGTTTACATGTGAAGAGGCACGTGAAAGCTAAGTAAAATTTATATAATTAAAAAAAATATTAAGTATTTTTGCTTAGCTTAGACCGCATTCACAACAAGTTGAGCCATGGCTCTACAAATCCACGAACTAAATATGGCGGACGTACATGAAAGAAAAAACGCCTAATCTTTTAATAGTCTCTCTGCCTCTCACATGCCTCCCCATGTGTCGTCCCAATGGAGCCGAGATTTAATGCCTGTACCCCGCAAGGATGACGCATGGGGAGGCGTGTGAGAGGCGGAGAGACTATTAAAAGATTAGGCGGTTTTTCTTTCATGTATGTCCGCCATATTTAGTTCGTGGATTTGTAGAGCCATGGCTCGACTCGTTGTGAATGCGGTCTTAGACCACATTTTAACTCTCCATGAGATATTAATTATAATATGATTTTAGTTCAATATAGGATGGATATGCCATAGATGGGAAAATGTAATTGTTTATGTATTTCTGCAAATTATTAACATTTTCTCACCTTCCTTGAGAAGCATTTCTCATAGGTGTTAAATTGATGCCAGTATCTGTATGATACAGTGCATTCAAGTTAATGAAAACTCTCATTTTGACAGAGCACCTCATAGTTAAGAAATTGTATCAAATCACTTTGTAAATCAGTCATTTGATATTTGTTTTGCAGTACATCACAGGCATGACACTATGTTGTATGCAGTTATCAATGAAGATTCTGACCATGGTTATATGAACACAGATGACAGGTCTATCAGTACAGATAGACAGTGGTGTAAACTGATTCTGGATGAGCTGAGCCAAGAGGCAGCAGATGTGGCCAAACCTTTGAAAAGACCACCTACCAGACAGCTTGTCATACCACCAAGGGTTGGAAGTAGAGAGCCGCAATTACCGAAAGCAGTGCCTAGGCATACCACAAATGATAACTCTAGGTGAGTAATTTGAGTAAAGAAAATCCTTTTGACCTTTTATAAAGATTTTTTTCAAAAGTTACAAATTATTCCCTTGTTCCAATTTTTTTTTTTTTTTTGAGGGGGGGGTGTTGGAAGATGGAGATTTGTAGACTGGTAAATCCCCTTGTTGTGAACACAAGCAGACTCTCACAATATATTTAAGTGATGTTATTTGAGTTTTAGTGATGACCTGGTGGATGGCAGTGCACACCCAGTCATATTTATGTCCCAGAGACCGTTGCCTCCTACCCCAGGAACATTAAGAAAGCTGAAATGGAAGGACCTGATCATTGATAGAACTAAAGTTCTGGGTGCTGTAAGTATATTTATGAAAAAAAGTGAATAAAAAATAATAAGTGTTTTATTTTTTTTTAAATTGTAACCAGTTTTGATAGTTTTAATGTAGAAATTATTAAGCTGAGCTTGTGATTTGCTTTTTTTGGAAATATTGGTAATGTTAAAATATTTACGTGAATACAATAAGTTGATTTTATAGATTTAGAATCATGTTTTGTGACAACTTGTTTTTATTTGTATAAATATTTGAAGCAAATATTGATAAAGTAAGATGAATGGGCCATTGAAATATATGCTAGGTGTGAGTCTGGTCAATCATTTTTTTTCTTTTTTCTTATATACAGGGTCATTATGGATGTGTATACCTGGGCAGATACAAACCTGAAAATAGGATGGTTGCTGTAAAGCAATTGAAGGATGACCAAAAAGATTATGAGGCTTTTTTTCATGAAATGAAAATAATGAACAAACTAAATCACCCAAATGTGGTCAACATGATTGGGGCCACTAGAGATTCAAAAGATGCACATGGTTTGTTTCTTTTTTATTTACAGTCCAAAGATTATAGAAGCATACTTTTTAACATAACATTTTTTTAAAATCTCAATGCCAAGTTTTGGAAAAGAAATTTTAAATCAAGAATGTTTTATGTAAATGTGTTAGCTGTTGACAAAAAGTTTATATATTGGCATTACTTCCCCCACTTTGCTTTACAAATATATACCAACTTGGCCACCAGAGTGCAAAATTTTTAGTTGGTCAGGGATTTTTATGGTAAAATTTTAGGCTGCCTTGTATTTTCTCCTTGTGTCAGTTTTAGATTTTGCATTGATATAGAATTTTGTTTAATATATTGTGATTTTGTAAATATGCCTTTCAGATGAAATCTATTTGGTTATGGAGTTTGTAGGAAATGGGACAGTCATGAAGTACATAGAACAGCGGAAGCCTGATGATCATCAGTTAACAAAATTGTCAAGAGACATTGCTGAGGTAAGCTATTCATGGTTGCAACATGCCCTGCGAGTTATTATAGAATGCTTGCAATTACATAAAAGATATTTCTGGTCATTCGTGATCATCATGGCAAGATACTGTATAAATTATGCTATAAAAACCATGGTGTTAAAGTTATTCATTGAAAATGTCGACTCCTTAACAATCCACCAAATCTTTTAAACAAAGTCAAGTAAAATATGTGTAGTTCTCTTGCTGTTTAATTGATTATGAATAGTTTAATTCAGTGCATGTTTTGTGAGGCTAATAAAACAAATCTTAAATTAAGCAATTCCATTGCTGTAAAAGTCATTGTTACTTTACCGATACTGACTTGGATTACTGTTTAATTGCTGTCTGCTTGTTCTATACCTTCCATTTTATATCTTCAGGGCATGGCTTATTTAGGTTCTTTTGGAATTGTCCATCGTGATCTGGCAGCACGTAATGTATTGGTAACCTTTGACCATCGAGCAAAGATCAGTGATTTTGGACTTTCAAGAGCACTGGATGACAATGTCTATTACACAATGAGGCGGACTAAAGGAGATTTTCCGATATTCTGGTACAGTGGATATGGGGTTATAATAAAACAACATTTGTCAATAATCCAAAAGAATTTTGTATACAAAGAATATTGTAGTCCTTTCCTGTACCAATGTTATGTCTGTTATTTCCTCTGAAGAAACCATTAAAAAAATTTCAAAGTAGTCCATGCATATTACAGGTGGGCCCCAGAGTGCATCCAGTTTCATAGATTCACAACCCGGTCAGATGTGTGGAGTTATGGTATGGTTTTGTGGGAGCTATTTACAAGGGGAACAAACAGTGTAAGAAGGAATATGGAGAGAGAAATAAGAACAAGAGCAAGTCAAAGAAAAATGCAACCTGTGGAGACATTTTTGTTAATGCTGCATGAAGGATGGCATCTTCCACTCCCTGAAGTTTGGCCCTTAGAAATTAGAGAGATAATCCAGAGTTGCTGGCAAATCAACAAGGAAGACAGACCTTTGTTTATAAACATCAGGGAAAGACTGGAAGAATATCTGAAAGAAGACTCCCCTGCTATATTGTTGTCTTCACAAATGGACCTCCCCTCCCCCACCCACAGTACAGATGGGAGCAGGCAGTTGTTGCTGCCACCTTCTTCTCCAGACAGCATTAGAGATAGCAGGTATTTTTCTTGAGTTAGTTTGACATGTCAGAGTTTTAGCCTAGCACTAAAATGAAACCTAGGCATTAAGAATAGAATATGGAATATGTGAGTAAAAAATTTGTTAGACCATGGTCACACTGAAATTGATGATATGTTACATATTATGGGTGTTAAAATATCAATCTTCACTTGACCAATAAAGTTTGGAAACACTTATTTTGAATAATTATAAAGTAACCATATGAGCTGAGGTAAATAGTTTAACCAAATTATGATGAATAATGCACCCACCATAAGTTATCTTTTTATATACAGTGAAGATTTTCCCACTACATTACATAGTTTTTTCATTACTGAAAAACAATTTCATGTTTCCAAACTATTTTTTGGTTGAGTGTATATTTGTATGTATCTGTGGGCGTTAAAATACTAATATTATATTTGACTGTATGAATCTGAGTTTTTTTCTGCTGTCTTTACATAATGCCTTGACTAATTTTTTTCAGTGCAGAGAATTACAACAGCACCAATACCACAACTACAACTCTCGGTGATGTAAGCTGTATTGAGTTTCCAATTGATGTGAACAGGCTTATTGCTCGTCCCTTACCACCAGAGCCATCTTGCCAGCCAGTCAAAGAATTTGACTATAGTGAATTGAAACTAGAACGTAGACTTGGCCAGGTGAGTCAGTCTCTCTCTTTCTCTCTTACACACACACACACACACACACACACACACACATTTTGATTGTTTTATTTATTTATCCTTCCTTAAGAATATCTAATCGTGTCAGTGTTTTTTTTCTTCTTTTTACAGGGCCACTATGGGGAAGTGTTTAAAGCGAGCTGTTCACCAGACCTTGGGTTTGATGTAGTGGCTGTTAAAAGGTTACAGGTGGAAGTGGAAAAGCAAAGCAGCATGGAAAGGGAGTTCCAGCATGAGGTGAACATGATGAGCAGACTGAATCATGAATGTATTGTTAGAATACTGGGGACAGCCAAGCAGTCACCGCGGGAAGGAATTGGTAGGAGGAAAATATTGTAATGCTAATGTTATGATATTCATCTGAAACCTAAATTTTGCTTTTTAAGATTTGGCATTTTTTACAAAAGATGTTTTTATTTTATTTGTTATTTCAGTTTTATAAATAAAAGAACTGTATAACACTTGTAAGATGTTTTAATTTCTCTGAAAAAAAATGGGTCATTTCACTGCTCCAGTTGTTGAAATGTTCTGAATATTTGTTTGCAGGTTCTGGCAGAGAATTGTGGATTGTAATGGAGTATGTTTCTCATGGTGATCTGAAAAACTACATTTCTAATTCCTCTTCCACTCTGAGAGATCTTGATCGCATCAGACTGGCTAGGGACATCGCAGAGGTGGGTAATTCATTCAGCTTGGGTAATAATGCCTTATTTTTAGTGGCTTAGGCCACACTTTTTTATTTTTATGGATGCCATCCTCTGCGGACCCCAAAATCGGTGCGAGAGGGTGAAAAAAAAAAAACAGTCCAAAAAATAAAAAAATCTGTTTAAGTAAAGGAATGCTGTCAGTACACAGCTGGAAACACAAATTTACTACAGAAACACGTATCAAACTAACAATATGTCTTTATCCATGCTCTCAGAATATTAAAGCATTATGAACACTTCAGAGAAATGTTTAAAAAATATTAATACTACTAAATCGATTAAAGGTTATTTCAGTGGATGCCATTTTGTCTACTTCGACTCAAACTGTCGGGTGGCCTGTCCGACCTAAGCTTCAGCCCACCAAATACCTCAGCGCCCTTGTCAACCCTTTTTTCGCTACAAAAAAACCTGGTATGTGTTGCTTTAGACAGAATGTCACTGAAATTTTCCGGGCGATAATCGCTGGCCACCACCAGCCTTTTGTATAATTGTAAAAGGTTATATTTCCATGCTCAATATCAACGGCATACCAATCCAAAACAACGACTCCTGTTCTCTTTATGACTTTAAATTGTTGTGCAATTTGAAAGTAATCCTAGAGATGAATTTGACGGCAAAGCGGACGTGGTGATAATACGCATTCGCAGAAGCAGAAAACGCATTTTCCGGCAAATTCAATAAAGACGTTTCCGACAACTGACTTCGTTGGGTTTTTTTTTTTTTTTTTTTTTTTTTTTTTTTTGAGAACGGACGAAAATCGGTGCGCGCACAGGATGTCATCCATAAAAATAAAGTGTGGCCTTATTTATAAAATTTGTTTCACAGGTCCATGGGCAAGAGAGGTTCAGGGGATTCAAGTGAACCCCCTTTTAAGCTAGGAAAACTATGTTTGAATTGATATTCGATGTATATGTATTCTATACCATTATGGACAAAAGGTCCATGAGATCACACAAAGAACCCCATGTGAAATTGCTGTTTACAGGCCTCTTTCATAAATGAGAAAGAAAGAAAAATAAGAAAAAGAGTATCTTTCTAGGTAAGACCATGTAAAAGGAATCAAATTTTCAAGTGTATGCAACAATATAAATAAGAGACAGGAATGCAATTCTCTTCACAGGGTATGCAGTACCTACATGTCAACAGGATTATACACCGTGATTTAGCAGCTAGGAATGTGCTGGTTACATTTGACCAGAGGGCTAAAATTACTGACTTTGGCTTGTCAAGACAGAGAGAGGAGTCCGTCTATTACTATGTTGCCAAGTCCAACAGGGCTGTCAATCCCTACTGGTAATAACACCTAGCTAGTACATTTAGTATGTGTTTATAGCAAGTAGTGGTAATGGCATCTGTTGATTAGATACCTGTTCATTTATCAAAAAAAAAAAAAAAAAGGAACCAGCATGTTCTTCCTTTTAAAGTTGGTTTTTCATCCTGTTTTTCACTGGATCATTGTTACGCCTTAGAAACTATAACATTATTTGTTGACTTATTCCATATTCAGGTACAGTCCAGAAGGGATAGATCCACATAATCCCAGATTTGCCTCCCGGTCAGATGTATGGAGCTTTGGTGTGGTGCTCTGGGAAATATTTAGCGTTCATGATGTCATAGACACATATGACTCAGAAATATTACGCCAGAAGCTGGTTCCTGATGTGGAAAACAAGAATACTGTGGTTGGATTAAGACTACTGCTTGGAAAAAAATGGCGACTGCCTATTCAACCACAGTGGCCAGAAGAAATTAAAAAATTGATGCAAGATTGTTGGAGGTATGAAAGAAAAGAGCGCCCCCATTTTGACCAGATCAAGGAATCTTTGGAAGACCTCGTTTCTAAATTATATTTGGTTTAAAAGGGCCTTGTACAAAACAGTTCCTGTTTAGCATGCTGTTATATGTATGCACCTGTTACATATTGTGCTTGTTTAAGTAGAATTTGGCATGCTTTTTTAAAGGTAAATGTCTAGTTTTTTATTATAGTTTAAATTACCTTTGTTGCCTATTTTACTTTCATAATGCCCAGTAGCATTGCTGGTGTACTAGTGTTAAGATTGTGTTTGACCATACATTATTGCATTTAATTCTGATGTTAATCAAAGTTTTAAATGTTCAAACCTGGGGCATATTTTAAGCATTTTATTTGTTAAGACAGGTGCAATATTTTTCATATTCAAGATATTGAATTTGTTCTCGACCACAGCTGTTAAAACTTGCTTATGCTGTAATGAGAAATCTTAAGAAATATTATTTACACTGTACATTGAATTAGTGCTGATACCTGGAAAATACACTGTTTTTTTCCATTAAAAAATTAGCACTTATTAAGGAATTCATCATTTTTGTCTTACATTAATTTTTTACAGTTTTTCAATGCAGATACATGTATGCAGATAGATGTGTTTTTTTTTTCAAGAAAGATTTAAAACGACTATAGTAATTGTCTAGGAAGAAAACATGTTTTGTCTATTTGGAAATGATTTGCTTTTTCATCATTGCTACATGAGAGACAATGAAAAGCCTATAACAGCTAAGTATCTAATAGTAGTAGTGCTTTGAATATTTAAGGTAAGAAAATTGTAGTTATTGCTAAAATTATTGATTAAAACTGTAAAATGTCAAAGTATTACTATTACTAATTATTTTTCTATATTAATTAAATGAGGTAACAGATTGATGTAAGTTTTTTATAATTGATACAGATGATTAAAAACAAATATATCACAGACAACATGGGCTGAAATATCTTGATTAGTTAAGCAAGAGGCCGTTTATAAGACATTATTATTAATTAAAACACTATTATTATTATTATATAAAGTTTAGTGCCATATTTTGGATTGTGAAACTATTTCACAAGAAAAAAAAGAAGTGGAATAGAATGGATTAAATGTTTCTTGTCAGTTTCAAATTCAAAGTATTTTTGTTAATTGTTACTTAGAAACTCTGACAATTGGTAATATATTTATAAATATTGCATTTTCTGGATAATAAAGAAAATTAAGTGTTGATTTAAATTTACAGGGCTTGTCATTATATAGCATTCAGTACATGCTAGTAACATGCTAGTGACAAAATAAAATAAAAACTAGGAAGATTGCTTGATGCTCCAAAGGAGATCATATCCTCCTACTAATAACGGTTCCCCAGCCATAGTTGCCAATTATAAACTCACGCAACTATTTTGAATAACAGCATATTCACACATATTTGAAAACAGATTTTTTTTTATTTTAGTAAAACTACACAGGTCACTTATCTGACTTTATTCAAACTGATGCACCATTTGCTTTTTGCTCGCTCTGGATGAATTACACACCCGTTGTACACGACTTCTGTTCTACTTCAGGAGATGCAGAGCTGTAGAACATTCTGTACTCTCACCTAGTCTGCCCATTCTACAGCTATACTTTCTAGACCTGGATTATGTGAGAAACAAGATGTTCTGTAAATTTTCCTGATCGAAACGTTTAAAACAACCCCATATCATTAAAGGATATACATTGTAAGCAGTTCTTGAAAAAATGAATGAACAATAGGTTCTGATACACAACATATTTAACTGAAAAGATTTATTAGACAAGAAGAGATTTTAATATAATTTGATTTAGAATTGAGTTTTGTCTTACACAGTTTACTGACGTAAATGTGACATCTCATAAATAAGAAATAGTAAATGATACAAAATGAACAAAGATAAATATTGATATGATATTTCGACATTTGAAATGTGATATACATACATTATAAAGCATACCCTTAAATCATACGTGTACAGATACTACTAATATCAATCGAGTGTCAGAGTAACTGAGAGAAATTGAAGGGAACTGAGAATATTTTCGCCAAATTTTATGTGAGGCAAACATGTTTACTAAGTGAATTTGCTCGCGGCTTCGAATATCATCTAAGAAATAAAATGACTGAAAGGCCTACCCGGTAAATCGACATGTTTGCTATAGTAAATTTTTGCTTCATTTTATAGCAACCTTACTAGTAAACTTTATCCTATAAGAATACAGGCCAACATAATATGAAAACAAATTGATTTTAAGAATTTTTGAAATCCAAATACCACCCTTTTAATTTATAGACAACAATAGTAACATACTAAACGTCGTTAACTAAAATGCAGTAGCATAAACGTCGTGTCATTTTTTCTTATTTAACTTGATTAAGTAAGCACAAATACATTTATACTACTTAAAAAAATTAACATCCCTTTTTATCATGGATGTATACTGAACAAAAATATAAACGCACGAAACTAAAATGGTCAGTTGAAATGGATAAACATGAAATATGCCCAGGTTGATGGTTTATTTGTGAACTGATGGATTTGTTTTGATCAATTATAGTGGTCTGGTTTCACTTGACCGCTCCCCGTGAGTATGCTCGAGGGTTCAGTTTTTACACCCATAAGACTAATGGAGCATGACGGAGTAGAGGTTAATCTGCAAGACCAATACTCGGACACTCTCTACCGTCTAGGCAATAAAAGGACACATCAAAATGTGTATTTCTGCCACTTGTCAACATGCCACAGATGTCTGGAACCATGAGGGAGCATGCCATCAGCATGCTCAATGCTGGCTTGTCAGTAACAGAAGTTGCAGCATGCCTGAATGTGCATCATTCCACTGTCAGCCGTCTGGGAACACGCTTCAGAGACACTGGTAGCATTAGGAACCACCCTCATGCACCATGTCGCCCAACAAACACCTGTGGAATGTTCTGGATCAGAGTTTTCAGCCATCATGTTCCAGCTCTCGAAAATGTTCGCCAACTGCAAGAAGCACTCCAGGAGGAATGGGATAATATCCGTTAGGCCTCTATTGACAACTTAGTGATGTCCATGCGCCGCTGGTGTACTGCTCTGCACAAATTTAATGGTGTCTGTGAACTCAGGATGTTGACTCCCATGGTGTATTTGATGCCCTAACTCTTGGACTATGCATTTAAACTTCCCCTAATGCTCTCAAAGTGCTGTCTATTTGTCGAGAAAAATATGCTGTTATTTTTGGCTATATACTCTAGTTCCATATATGAAAATAAATCTACATATTCTTTCGTGCGTTTAATTTTTTGTTCAGTATATTTAAAGAAAGCGTAGTCCTACTTAACCATAACTTCACACAGGTAAATGGATAATAATCTTAGAAAAATTCTTTAATGTTCACAGAGTCCTTCATATTGGCGCAGTGGCAAACGGGTCAACTGGATAAACGCCTAAATCATGCTTTGAGATAAGGTTTAGGTTAGCAGCGCCAAACATGACACTAACAACATCATCCAAATTAAACCTTTACCATTACCGCCACAATTCTTTGAATCTGAGGGCTTAGCGCTGGCTTTTTCCTGTACAGGAGTCGTGGCTTCATCAGGACAAGGACACTTCGATCCTGGGCGTATCCGGACAGGCCCCCCTTGAACGTGAATAGTCACATCCTTCAGAGCGTGTACAATGTCAGTCTTGAGACGCTGGATCATCTGAAGACCTTCGTTGTAATCAGCCAAAACTGCCGTGAATCTGACGAGTCCATAAACCGAAATGACATCTCTGCCCATCTGCTCGTCTTTTATTTCCGTGCAGTTTATCAGAGGTCCAGTCCATCCTACCAACTTCATGTGCTCCTTCAGCTGTCTGTTACGTATCAGGCTACTACATGCAAACTGGTTATTCAGGCGCCAATTCACGGGTTCAAATTCAAGGAAAATGTCATATTGGAGCTTCGTGAGGTTGTACAAAATGGCCCGACAGTTCTGACCATCAAAGACGAAACCAAGAGGACAGATTATCGGTTGTACTGTTGGCTGAAATATATCAAAGACGTTGGCCATTCATTTTAATTATCGCTCGAGTGGAGTGTGTGTGTGTGTGTGTGTGTGTGTGTGGTGGGGTGGGGTGATTAGCATTATGCTATTTTAAGCATTTTACACAGCCTTAGTGGTGAAAAATTGACGTGAAAGTTTCTTATAAAAATTTATTATTGTTTTGAATGGTGCCTATGACAGTGTTGAAGTAATTATAACTCTGCTGGGTTTCATCTTCACGAAATCTGTATTGCTAGCCTAAAGAGAGTGGCAATAACAGTTTTTTTTTTTTTTTTTTTTTTTTTTTTTTTTTTGTCACTTTGGTCGTTGATAAGTGAAATGTGCGCAAGTCACTTCCTATTATCAGAAGTGACGCTCTAAATTTGGATATGATAGAAAACTAGGCCCTTTCTTTCGAACATTCTAATTTCTTATTTTAATCAAGCGCAAATGTACAGCTTCAAGATGCACATTGTTTTTTATCTTTAAAAATCGGACAAAGACCAGTAAAAGAATAGTAAAAGGGATTTGCGTATTACTTCTGACAAAATTAATGAGTTTGGGGTCCATTATGTGCCGTTTGAGCTCGCAGATTTATTCAAAATCTAAAACTTTTTGCAAATTATGTAAATGTTTCATGCATAACATTTTTACCATTTAAGATACAAAAATAACAAAGGGCAAACTTTGTAAACTGGAGTAGTTTTAGCCGTAATTTTAAGACTGAAAAGTACTAATATTTATTTTTATGTGAAATGTGATGTTCGCAACACAACCTGATAATCACATCGGAGACACTGAAAACGTCTGAAAGGTTTAACAAAATTTCAGTCATCTTTTCCTTTGAGTATATTGTTTTGTTAGAATATCTTACTATTTTTACAGTAATCTAGAGGGGATAGAGGGACTTAAATGTACTGCGACAAGCTAGTTTACGCAGAATACATGTACGACCTAGTCTGAATGTACGGGCACGTGTAAACGTAGCTAAGATACACAGCTGACACTCATTATATAAACACCCGCGCACATATGCACACACACACAACACACACACACACACACACACACACACACACACAAGTCAAATTTAAACAGCTGCGATCAGGTATTACCGGTAGCCTGAGTGTGGAAACACTGCTCTCCTCATCAGCATGATCTCCAGTGAACAAAAAGGCGCTAAAGCTCATTCCGAGGAATCCAAACTGACTCGAATCTAATGACGTCTCCCCTGCGGAATCATCTAAAACGGCACAAAAATCTATGTCATCCTACAGCAGCAACTGATAATTGTTCTTTTAGCAACATGGTTCAGTTAACTGTCTACATGTAGAAAGGGCCTGGGAACCTCAATGATCGTTTTTGGGGCGAAAATTATAATTTACGAGATTCCATCTTATCCTCAATGGTTTTCCACTATTTGCCCACCATCACCTGTCTAGTTCTAAAATAAGAAATACACAATGGACATCGGTTTATAATACTACTTCTTTTCTTCACTTGGTTTCAGCTGAAAGAATGGTTATCAAATCGTATAAAAAACCCACATTATTTGTAAATGAAGAAATATATGTGTACCTAGGGGTGAAAGCAAAGCCTTCATGAAAACTAAGTATAATGGAAAGCTTGAGGATAACAAAATGCCCTAAAATATTAAATTTGCTCTTCGTCCATTTGACATTTTTTAAAATGTTAAGGCTTACACGTTTTTTCGGCTTACACAGTTGTTGGATTACAAAGTTTTTGGCCTCTTTGCAACCCCACAAACTGAAATGTGTGCACTATTTGTTTGGAAATTATATTTCAGGCGTACACATTACGTTAATATCATTAATCAACACTATTCAATGTTTATCACTAACCCGCTTCATTTCTTTTTAGAGTGTAGCCTAATTCAATAAATGGGATCAAATTTCGAACATCATGCTCGAGTTATTATTTAAATCGGTTTAGATCAAGAAGACATAACGGAAGTGCGTTATTGAGCCTACGTTAATAAGCCTAGCAGAGGTCATACCAAGGAATCATCAAGGAGTAGTTGAAAGGTTTTTGATGAATAACATTGCAAAGTCTCCCATCAGTATTATAAGACTTCTTTATTTTGATTTTTACCTTAATCCCGTTTCCATAAGTAAAATGTAATATAAAATATTTGTATAGCATGATATATTAGAAATGTTTCTTAATGCAATGGGATTTTTCTTTTAGCCTTCTCCTATCATAATATTGGGAAAGCTCGGATTAAACCGAGATGGTAACCTCCGACAATTTATAGTCAGTCCTCGAGAGAGGTGTTAGAGAAGTTATTTTTTCTGTTGCATTTTGGAAGATCTAACTATGAGTAAAAGCATGCAAGTTTGAGAATAAAAGGTACTTTTTGTATCCTCAAACTATTATTTTCACTCTAACAATTTTGGTATTGCTAATAAAGTGTGGATCTTGTCTTACCTGAACAACGGCTCACACCTGTGTGACACATAAGGCAGTGGTAGTTCTTGAATACTGAGATGTCCCACCTATTTATATAAAGAACGGGGTTGGTGTACGAAAGGCATGCATCTTTCAGTGGAGAGTCTAATGGATATGGATATGAAGCACGTTGCATGCTGCCATTAACGAAAGTATAAGAACAAGGCTCTGAAGTTTCATCCTCGCTCGCGATACAGGTTCTTAGTTGCCATTCTTTGTGTGCAGCGAAATGCCCGGTACACCTATCATTTGCTAATGTCTTTTTTAGGATACACGAAGAGGATGTACATTGCAAAAAAGGTTCGAACCGCTGGTTACTACAAACTATTTCGAACCCCCAAGGCACCAGGCCGTTCTTGATACCGTGGCACAGTGCGCAGTATTTGTTACTGTAAGTCAAAAATGTCTTTGGGTCGGTAACTGGCTGGTACTGGGATAAGTCTTCAATTTGGATGATACCGGAAGAATTAGAGCATTTCAAACGGTCCATGTCATTAAGCCAAGTGGAAGGACATTGGTCCACCATCCAGAAACTCAATTCCGAGTGCAAAAAACGCGTCTGACGCAGTTTAGGGCTATTTCTGCAAGAGGACATTTGCCGAATAGAACGAAAGTCGGGTTCCTCAAAACGACCCTGGTGGTCTCCATCCAACTGCGTTTTGTTATATTTCGAGACGGGAAAACTTCTGAAAGGGGTCGCTGGTGAGTGAAGTTGGGTTTTGTTAACCGCATTCTGTGTTTGGTTACTGACAGAAACAGAACGTAACGCAGAATGGGCCGCACTGTCACCGACAGACATTCTGGTGGAAGCCACGCATATCTGTGTTGGGTCCAAGGCGCCGTGGCAGCAATCGTCGAAGATGTGGCAAAGAAAGTCACAGTGACAGTGAACTTTAAAGTAAAAGTTTTTGTAACCGCTTGTGCTTTGCCCACACACCCATTTATAAGGCTGGAGAGTAAGTTCTAGACCACTTGGTGAAGTTTCCTCGTGATCAACTTGATTCTCCGCAGCACTGGCTGTGGAGCCTGCAATAAGCAGCATCGCCAAGCGTAGACATGAATTCATTGTGTTTCTGGCGAGCTGTCTCCACAAAGCAAAAGAACGTCAGGAGAAGTGGCGCAATCTGAATTGTGTTACAAAATTTATAATGCTAGGAGAATGTTTTGAAAGTCGTGATAATTATATACATTGCACCTAACCCAACTGAAATTACTAGATTATATTACTTTTTCTGCTAAAGACTAATAATTTAACTGGTCACTGATGATTTTTCATTGCGTCCAATATATGGACATAATGAAGGACGCAAGCAGTGTTAAATAGATTCTTATTGGAATATGTTATGTGTATGTAAAAACTATTTCATACATTTCAATTATCACCATTCTTCTACAATATAAAACATAGATGATAAACATCGAAAGTACCTATCAAATACAGAGATACTGAAAATCTATCTTGATGGATGCTGTAAATGTGATGCCTAATATCGGGCGTTTAAATTTCTCCGATTTTACAATAATTTTGTTATGTTTGTAGATACAACCAGCAACTTTTTTCATTTAATAATGAACAATAGCCCACGTTATTAGACCTTTTTACCCAAAACACATTTGGTTTAAGAGGGACTTTGTGTGAAACAGTGTCTGTTTTTCACGCTGTTATATACTAGGCAGTTGTCATATTTTTTACTTATTAAAGCTAAGATAAGATAATTACTCAGCGAAAAAATATATACAATATACAATATCAGGAATAAATTGTCCGTTGTATTATAAACTGTAAAACTAGTCAGAAAAAAGTAATTTTAAGACTGTCATATATGATAATTTATTAAACACAAGCTGGAATGTTTTGTACCCTTAGCTTTTGGGCACTGCTGCCATAATGACCGTAGAAGGAAAACCATGTTACTTATGATTCTCAAACTTACTGAAAAGATTCATAGGACTGAAAATGCAGCTTGAGTTGGAAAACCAGTCTGACTGCATTCAATTCTCTTCTGGAAGCAATGCAGTTCTTTTTGAAGTTTTCATTTTTCATATATTGGCATTTTGTGGGAGTTCGTTAAAATTCACCCATTTCTGGTAAAAACTTTCAATTTCCTTACACGTATATTTGCCTTTTTCAAAATTTTCATGGTGTTATCTCTCCTCCTGCATTTGCCATGGTTTTTTATCAAGGTGAACTTCCATAAACTTCTATTTCATAATGGTTTTAAATGAATATTGCGGCTATTTATTATTCTAATATAAGCTTTACCGACGATAACAAACTGAAATTGAGAAAGTAATAAAAGCTGTGGCAAGACTTAACATTGCATCCAATCAAAATGAAATTACTACATTAGGCGACTACATGTATATCTACTTAAGACGAACAATAATTTCTACTTAACTGGTCACTGATGATTTTTCATTACTTTCAACACATGAGGAACGCTAAGTAGATTCTTATGAGCACCACTCAAACCAATTGATGCTAGAATGATCTATGTAAAAATGTTATTTCATACCTGTCGCCCTTTTGTGAGATATACATATACGGGGGCGTGAGGGGGGGAACAAAAGTATTGCACCATTTTAATGAAGGTAAACAACGACTAGGTTTGTTAGATTTTTCAATGAGTATTTTATTGAAAACTGGTAATGTCAAGTTAGTATCTTTACTACAGGTTTACAGACCAATGCTTTGTCCGTACACCACGCATGTTATTATGACAGTATTAATATTTTGTAGGATATCCACCTGATCTCAATATGGCCACCATACTTCTGGACAAAGACTGATAACTGTTCAGTAATTTCCTGGGGGCTACGTTGGCCCAGGCTCTCTAGACATTTTAGATTAGAACATTTCTGGTAGAGAAGCGATCCTTTGCCACTTGATTTCCAAGTTATTTTTATTCGGGTTTGTGTCTGGGGATTGGGCAAGCCAATCCGCCCTGTTAATGCTGTTAAAGCCACTCTCGTTCAGTATGCAGGTAGTTCTGACTCTGTGGGGTGTGGTGTTATCATTTGTTGGGAAATGAACTGATTATCCCTGTTCTCAAATATGTTTTCTATCGAAGTGCTGGTCCAGAATGTCAAATAATGTAACGCTTGTGGGTCAGGTCTTCATGCATAAACCCCAGTTCACCAATGCACCCTAAGCCATTACTAAAGTGAACTGTCTAGCGAGATGCATATTATCTGGCAGAAAAGAAGTGGATAATGCTCCCATACTGTCACTTGTCTACCTAAGTTGTTAGCAGTGAATATGCATGGTCTCATCAGAAAATACAGAATGGCATCAGTTCTGACCTACGGTCCATGCGTCCTTGCATCCCATGTCACTTTTCTTCGTTTGTTTATCAAGATGATAAGTGCTTTTCTCCTGGCAACACTTTTTACGAACGCACCACCCCACCCCACCCCAAGTCATATAGCGTACTATTCACACAAATGGCCCAATACGTAGGCCTACTTTTGTCACCCTCCCCTGTAGATGATATAGTTCCATGTTGAAGTTAATTGTACATTGATCACAGGCTTCACAGCGTGTATGTTTGATAATCTTAAATAAGAATAGATCTACGATTATACGTTTTTGCATCGTGAATATTAACTCAAAGGTAGTGACTTTAACTTAAGTTTTGTTGCAAACGTAATAAAACGAATTGACGAAAATTACAAACTGAATTAAATTCAATATCCGTGGAATGGTTTATTTCTGTTTTATTTATTCATTAGGCTATTGTTATTTATTATTTATTTGAATTTTTATCTATGTCATTATTTATTTATTTTTATATCCTATTATTTTAAAGAAATAACAACTTTTCAGTTTGGCACAAAAATGGATTTCCCCAAAGTACGTAACAAAGGATAATTTTCCCATACTTACCAACGATTAATAGATTACAGATTAACTTGCGATAACCGCCGTTTTGGTGGAAAAAATAGAATTAAATATATTTCCATTTTTTTTTTTTTTTAACAATGTATTCATTGTGAAATGTGGATCTCATATGGATATGACTTGCTATGTATTTTAAATGTACCTTTAAACAAATGTGCTATACAGTAGAAAAAATTGTCATGAAGCAGGCGGATAGGCTACATACATTGTATCGTGAATATCTACTTAAAATCAATCCGTTGCCCTGGTAGAGGCAGTGGCGTATTTAGAGGGGGTCAGGGGGGTCCTGATCCACCCCTTTCAAATAATCCTGGATCCGCCCCTGTGCCCTCTACCATACCCCCTCAGACTGAAACTAAGTCTAATAATATCTGACATAACATTTCTGGTATAAAACGTGTGGCGGCTTTTGGTGCTTTAAAAATGTTGCTGCGCCATCTATTGACAAAGTCTACAGACGAACAGACAGACAAAGGGAAAACAAATGTGCTGAACTGGATTACATAGTTGAAAGGTAGTTCTTCAGTCTTAGATTTAGTCTTCAAATTGACGATTATAGTAATGCAATATACAGATCTTGATGAGTGATGCTTACGTGGTCAAAACAAAAGCTGGAATTCATAATTTATTACTTTATTGGTAACGGGATTAGGGTTTTCGGTACTGGCAAGAACTTGGAAGTTTGACGAAAAAATGCGAAAATATAAGGTTTTTGCTGCTTTTACCACTAGCTGCAGGGGGCAGAGTTTTCTTTCGGATGGAATTTTTCATATTATTTCCACCCTGTTGCTCGTTCGTTTGCTTGGTAGCACACCATTCGGTACTTGTGCAGTGTCCCCCCCGGTCTCCCTACCCTATAACTGTCTCATTTTCAATGTTAATCAGAATTAAGTTTTGTGTTTACTGTGAGACTGTGATCATTGTCTCTGCTATTCAGATAAATAAGTTTGGAAATTCACTATTTTTTTTACATTAAACCTTTTAAGCTCTTTGCCCATTTTACACCAGCAGTGGCCATGGCTTTCATAATATTTGAATGGCATAAAGTTTCATGTTCAGTTATGTTCAATTAAATGCATATTAAATTAGTAAATAAATTGCCAAACTGATTCTTTTAAAGAGATCATTGAAAGTCACTGCACAAATTAGTTTAGAGAAGATACTGAAGATCAGACAGAATATATATATTGTCGGGAGTGGAATACTGCAAAGTGCCCAAAATTCATGCGTTAGCACGGGTGTCATTTAGCACTGAAATGAACCATATGACCCCGAGTGAGACCTTAGTTTTATTTTAAGCATCCCAATCTACCCTTGTCTTGAACTCCACACAATGTTTATAAATATGCTGTTTGAGATGTGTAGAGGAGAAATAGTTTAAAGCAAGGTTAGGATATCATTCTGTGTCATTTCTGTGTTTAGTGAGACCCCTTTAGCCCTGCTATTGATGATTTTTGATATGCTGAAAGCTTGGTATTGCATAAAATCTTCACTTTTGCATTTAGATTTATGTGCTCGTAATTTATAAGAAAAGGTTACTAGTCATACTTTAAGCCTTTTCTCCTATGAAGATACTTATATAAACTTTTCTACAAATTTATTTAAGAATGATATGATGGTTTAATACCTTTTATTTGGTTCTTCTGTTAGGCCATGCGCCGCAAGGGAGGAGAGAGACGTATACGTCTGAAGACAGTTAATCCTCATATAACTTGTCGATTATGCAAGGGGTATCTAATAGATGCCACTACCATCACAGAATGCCTCCACACATGTAAGTGCAATAATACTTACTCAGTATCAAATTTACTATGTAATTATAGTTTATTAATATTGGTATTCTCCTTGGATATAAGGCTTCAAACATGTCTGCCATCAGGTTACTGTGTCACTCCATTTGGTACATAAAAAGAACAGCTATATAGGTCATTTCTATGAAGTAGTAATTTATGTACATCCAACATTTATCACTTTCCTTTTTCAGTTTGTAAGTGTTGCATTGTAAAGTATCTGGAAGAAAACAATACTTGTCCTACTTGTCAAATTGTTATTCATCAGAGTCATCCACTCAACTACATCAGGTAAGACAATCCCTTTTTTATCCACTCGGCACATATATGGATTTTTTTAAATTTTTAATAATTCAGAAACATGTTTACTTATAAAAAATGCCCTCCTCAGCTATTTGTCACTTTGTATTTATAGCAGTATAAACCAGTTTGGTTAAAGGTATTATCATTTTCACATTGTTGGTGGAAAGTGTGTCTGTTATCTACTAGTATCTTTTAATTGGAATTATTTGTTCTTGATTTTAGCCATGATCGGACCATGCAAGATATAGTGTATAAACTTGTTCCAAACCTTCATAAAAGTAAGTTGTATTGTAGTTAAATGTGAATCACATTTAGATTTATCAAACCATTACATAGAATCATACATTTAAACGCACTTTCTTGGAACAGCATTAACTTGATTTTACAAATTCTTTGCTCACTTATAGACTGTAAGTGTATATAAATATAAAAATTTGTTTTTGGAAACAGTTTATTTTGTTTCTTTTTTATCAGATGAACAAGACAGAGAAGAAAAGTTTTATTCTAAGAGGGGTTTACCTTTGCCAAGGTCACTCTCTGGTAAGACAACAGTTTATTTTATTCAAGGATGCTTGCAAAGACCAAGAATAAATATGTTAATGGAATATACAGGAAAAGATTTATAAAACTTACAACATAACAGTAAAGTTTGCAAATTGAATTGAATTGGTGTGATATATTATATTATATTATATCACATTATTCAGCCAGAGGCTAGTCTTTTTGTCACTTACCATAATATAGGAAAATATTATTTTATACTTTGTATGGAATAGGATATTATATCCAGGGATTTTCTATGTAATAAAACTACATGTCTACTTCTCTGAATTTATCAAAACATACTATCTATCTCCCTTACATCATGAAAAAGAATTTATCTACCTTTGATGTCCCTACCCAATTGCTATAATATGTTACAACCGGCTAAAGTAATGTGAGATTTGTGAGTAGCAGAAGTCAGTCGTCATCTGTGGTGTATTAAGTTGTTGTTACCACCCTCATTTCATTGTATTTTGTAGTCCTAACAGCCTTCAGTCACTATGTATTTGGTAGTCCTTATATCCCTCAGACACAATGTATTTGGCATTCCTTGCATCCCTCAGACACAATGTATTTGGCATTCCTTGCATCCCTCAGACACAATGTATTTGGCATTCCTTGCATCCCTCAGACACAATGTATTTAGCAGTCCCTGCATCCCTCATACACATTGTATTTGGTAGCCTTTAATTGCTCAGTCGTAGTGTATTTCTCACTTGTTCATTTTAGGTGTAGAAAATGGAGACGAGAATGGCTATGGCTCTGAAAACAAGCCTCCTCCACAGCCCAAAGACGATGGTGATTTTCATCGTACAGATGAACAAGTTAATGTCTGCTTGGAGAATGCCAAGTCAATGAAAGAATTAAAAAAAAAGTATTTACGTCTTTCTGCTCTGGCCACCATTACTCATTTGAAGAAGTATGTGGCTGTGAAAGTTTTCAGCAATATTCAAAGGTATAAAGAGGTATGTATGCTCCCTGTTTGCACACATACTATATATAAAAAAACCATAAATCTTAATCATATGCATCCATAAATCTTAATCATATACCTTATCTTATGCAATGGGTCACCACAAATGTATTTTCAATGTGACTGATGTCACTTCATGTAAACTTTTGGACCCATGCAGTTACTAGTAACTACATACATTTGAGTTGCAGGATATCTTTTTTAGGAGGATGCCTCTGTTTCATGTTCATTGTGGTATTTGTACTTGCCTATGTCCTAGTTGATACTCTTAAGGTTGGCATTAAATTGTGTATTGATTTGAAAGCATTTTATTTTAGATTATTAAAGATAATTGTACAGATAGAGCCACGGTTTACTGTTAGTTGGAAGAGATTTTGTCATTATTTTGAATATATTTATGTATGCACACACAGTGGCGCTGTTGTGTATAAAATGAACTTAAGATTATGTAAGAAAGCTACAAGTCTGATCTCTGAGGAATAATTTTTGATTTTGCATTGAAGGTTGAAATACTGTGCAATGAAGAAATACTAGGCAAAGATCATTCCCTTAAGTTTGTGTGTGTGACACGTTGGAAATGCAAGGTAAGTTTTCCTCGTCTTACAGCTACTACTGCCTTTGTTTCACAGCATTATAACATCACTAAACAGCTCCTTTTTTATAAGTCTTATTTTTACCACAACAAGAATTTTCTTGGTGTTTTTTGGATATATTTTTGCCTAAACATAAACAGAATTTATAAAAGGATTAAAATAAAATCATAATGCTCCTTTTTTCTTTTGTAGAACACCCCTTTGCACCTCATCTACAGACCAAGAGTGGACATCGTATGACATCACATGGCACATCACTGAATCACATTCTTCATTACCAATTTAAAACTTTTGTGAACACATTTTTACTATGTCATAGCCTCCATTTAACAGTATGTCATCCAACTGTCCTACAAGGATTGCTTAGTCATCATTCTTACTTATCAGGAATATTTAAGAGGTGAAAAATGTGGGTATGAATTTGTTACGGTGCTTGAAAGAAGACGTGTAGTAAAGAGAACTTCACTAATAGCAGCCTTACCATGAATCTGATTTTAGTCATTTTTACTTTCATAGACACTTGTTTAATACAAGATCTTTTTTATGGATTTAACATATATTATTAAATCAATGCAAAACTATGTCAAATCTTATTTCAGTTGCTTTTTCTTCATTTTACTCTGTTGTAGGATTACTACTAGGATCAGCAGTGTGAATCTTTTATCATTTTACTTGAAGAAGTCTACAAAGTATACCAACAGTTTGTTCACAGTCAGCAAAGTATCTGTTGTTTGATGATATAATTAAAATGTGCATTTTGTCTTCACCATGAGGGTGACAGTGGAGAGGACACATGATGGTAATTTCTCCCACAGCAATAGCTTTGTGGATGTACATGTGCATTATTCTTGTGCTTTCCTAATGCATAATGTAAAATGTTGAGTTTATAATAGGGGATATCCTTGTTTGATAGTACCGAAAGATTACTTTTATTGTGTATCTGTTGAAAATATGTATTAAAGAAAAACTTCTTTTTTGTTTTGGGAAAGGCAAAAAGTCCTTTCACAATCTGTACATATTATATGTTCCCCTAGTAAAATTTTTCTTTATATATTTTATGGTAAGCAGAATGCTTCACTGGAGTTAATCATGTAAATAACATTAAATAGGACAACAAGCTATCCCTTATGTTGCTTTTATAGAAGAAAAAGTGAAAAAGAAACTTTAAAAGATTACTGGTACATTTTGAATTTTAATAACTATTTTATAATTACTACTATGTGATAAAATTAACCTGGGTTATTTGAAGAGGGGACCTCTTGTGATTTTTTCCTTTTATCAAAGGTAATTATGGTTTGAATATATTTAAGTGGGGATATCGTACCAATAAGTTAAAGTGAAGGACCATAATTGAAATTGTTCAACAGAGATTACTATGTGAACAGTTTCGCGTCATATGTGCTATTCTGACGGGTAAATATAACAATGTTTGACAAATCATGGTTCATTCATTTGAAGATATTTCTTCTATGTATAGTACCTCTTTTAAGCTTGAATTTCGAACCAACGTAACAAAGTGGAATTGATAAAATGTTAAAATTAACAATAGATTAAAATTTGTCAGATGTGTGGGTGAAGGATCTCGTTCATGGCGCATAATGGCTGTATTAAGGAGAAAACGCCAGTTTATTTTCACAAAATACATATTTACACATTTCATTGCCTGGATAAAGTACTACTAAACGCTTTCAAGTTATATCTTAAAATGTGCAATACAGATTTTGAGGATGTGAAGACATAAAGGTCTTATCGAAAATTTGGGATTTATACTGACAGTCATTGAAAACGCATCAGAAAACTTTCTTGTATTTTTTTAACGAGAATCGATTCCAACCATTAAAACGAGTACAAATGCACTTGTTTGGTCATAAGAGAGTGGGCTGACCACTCTGATGTTTAAAATTTCCGCTTCAGTGATTTTGTGACCAGCTGTTACAAAATCGCGTTTTTCCTGTCTCGTGATTGGTGTGAATTAATCAGGTTCAACATATGGTGATTAATTAATCCTATTTAAGGTAGTCACCAAAAACCAGTGTGACACATGACGAAAAAGTTCAGTGATGCTACGTCTGACACTGAAAGAGTGACTGCGGGCCCTGGGGATGCTGGAGGATGGGCGGAACCAAAGAGATTTGATTACCTGAACTTGCACTTTAATGATCTTTTCTGACCTTTATTTCACCTTGTGTAACTGAATAATGGGTCATATTCCACACGTAAACTTATTTTCTTAATGTGCCAAAGGAACAAAAATATTATTTGATAAATAAATGATGCGTTTTCATTGACTGTCAGTATATTTTTAAGTCTGAACTATTTCCGATGGCTCGCTCTGTTTATTTGTTTATCGATTATACCTGAAACGGGAACCCTGCGCTTATTTTAATCTCTAATTATAAGTAGCAATTCATAATTCCTTTTCCACACATTTACATCACTCCAATTTACACCACTCCATTTACAACACACCAAATCATATTTTGGCATTCATAAACATCATTTTTCTAGCGTTTTGCAACTCGTACGCTGTATAACTTTCCACCCGGGCCATCTAAGACAGCCACTTTAAACTGTAATTAAAATCATGCATACTCATAGCCAATTAAGATGTGTTCATTTATAGTTATCTAGACTCCGCATTATCTTGAAAAGGTAGGCTATAATTAAATTGTGAATCATACAAGAGGAATAGGTAGATAATGTGAGAAGCTGATAATACAATAGAAAGCCGTCAGAACACTAGACTGTGTACTATACGTGAATAAGGCTTTTAGATATAAACAAACCACAAAGATAAATGATAATGTCCTTTGCCCGCCTCGGTAGATGGCATCCGTCACGGAAGAAATACAACAGCCCATTTTGTTTTTAATTCAATGACTGTGAATTCATTACTTTAGACACGTTGAGACTCATTCAAGATGGCGGGTTACCTTTGAGGAGACCAGACATTATCCACAGTCCTTATTTTCATCTCAAAGACGGAATACAAATAGGTAAGTGACTTTTTCTACATGAAAAATGTGTTTATTATCTAAAACTTTTGCTATAGTTTTGAAAACAGAAGGTGTGCGTTGTCTTTATACATCAGTACTGTGCATAACATCCTATCCCTCCATGGTATGTGCATTATTTCAGACCCCCATATACTTATAAGGTCACAAACGTCTGCATTTGTTTATGTAACTTTACACTTCGTCCGAAACAGGGCGGGTATCTCGGGAATATATTGTAAACCTTCAATATAGATCACGTAAGTCAAAGATGTCAGTATTCGCTGACTGTATATATGTGTTTCTTCAACTTGGGACCGCTAAACCGTTACAGTCATATCGTATACTGCTCTGTTAGTCATGCAAAATGGATATCATTTTAAATGAGGGAAAATTTATTTCAAGATCAACGTATTTGTTGCTCTTTCTGCTCAACGCGATTCAAGAAATATGTACCAGACGTAGTCTGTAGTACCGTGTGTAGTCTAGTATTTCATTGAAAGAAAACGAAGACAAAAGTAAACTCAGACGCAGCAACAGTTGCGAGTAAAAAGTCTTCTCATTCCCCAAATTCAACTTTGTTAAAATCCATTGTGTTTTGAATGGTTTGTCATATTCATATCACGTGAACATGTTAAAGAATGGTTGAAGATAGGCCGACACTTTGATAACGACGACTGTCAGACTGATGCGTGACACCACGGAAAGATCGCTGTCTGGGGAACTCGGGGACACGGGACTGGTTTGATTTTGCTGACAAATTAGGACACCGGTTTTAATGGGCCATTTCTATTAAATATAAGTGGGACCCCTTCTGTTTTACACTTGAGAATATCAAGAATCTGTGACAAATTAGTTTTGTTGAAGTGCAGTTGTGCTTGATAATCCCTATTATTATTAAATAAGTTTTCATAGCATGGACAGAAGAGCCGTGAAGAAAACTGAAGATAACACTCGACACTTTACCTACATGTAATACAGTGTATGTAAAAAAGAGTGACTAAAACATACTGTATGTAAAAGAAGAGTGACTAATACATATTTTAATGCGGCCCAACATCACCCTGGCTGCCACAGAAGAGTGAGACTATACTAGTATGATGAATATTATCTTAATTTATGGGCATTGGGCACGTACGGTAGGCCAAATATGATTATTGAGATTTTATTTCTCCACGACTAAAATGGTTTTTATCTCACTCTTGTTGCAAGGGAATTCGAAAATATATCTTATCTTTTAGGTCTCAGAGATCAAAAACTTTATAAGGCCTTTACATGACAGTACGTACAATTAATTGATATGCTGTGCCTATCATTAGCAAATACATTAACAATGCCGTTAGAGTGTTGGGATGCCCTTTAAAAGTGTCATTATTTTCCTTGGTAGTTTTGCAGTTCTACGAAATTGTGTCAAGCGGTTTTTAATTATTGTGCCTTGCATATAATAATGAAATAACCGTAGTCTACTGTCATATAAAAGTCCTTCTGACTCCCCCTGTAAATTATTCGACAGACACCTTCATTTTTTTATATATACGAGCTGAAACTATTTTTTATCTTTTCCACAATTGATATAGAAAGTAAGTAAGCTGTAAACATAATTATGTAGAGTTAAATGATCATTCCGACTATATGCTTTTTAGATGGAATCCTGGGGTATCCTGTGTGCAGTTGCCTTGCTGTGTATATTGCCAACAGTCCATCCTGAGAAGAAATTGCTATGTTACATGACAGAAGGCGATGAATGCGGTCCACACAATGGCAAATGTTACGTGTCATTCAATGGAACACACGTTTTCATCTACCATAAAAACAAGGAGTCGCTAGAGTTCAGCATGGAACTTTCAAGAAACGACTCAAACTCGAAAATCTCAGCGTGTCCGTTTGACGAAACAACGGAGACATGTTTTATACGCACCACCACTGTACAGGAGGGCGCTACTGATCCAGACTTCTACATCTACAATGGCACTTGGGTTGAAAAGTATGAAGGTGCATTTGATTATAAGGACTGCCCATGTGACGGCTACCATAATTATGAGAAATCTTACAGGTTCTATGGCTTAAAAACGTCTTACAACCAAGTTTACTGGGCACATTACGATGTAGCCGATGCTCCACCGGACGCTGGTACCAGAGCCAACGAAACCATTCCAGGTACCGCTCAGAAACATAGTGGACACTTTTATTCATTTGCCTACGTGTAGACTTAATTTTCGTTAAATTTTACAATTGACGTCAAAATATATTTGAATAATATACACTTGACGTCAAAATATATTTGAATAATAAATTTCAATCCTTTATTCAAATTTTTGAACATTAATTTTTAGCATGCTGCTGATTTTTGATTAGTCAAGTTTCATTTCATTATTTCAGCAGGTTCATGTTTCATCTAAGAATTTCCCTTAATTCTTGATTTCACAAAATAAAGTTATATGTAATCAACTTAAAGGATTATACATGTATACAAATGTACCTGTTTATTGATATTTTAGATATTTTAAAACGTCTCTTCTCACATTAACCTTATTCTCAAACTGCTTATTGATATTGCTCATTCACCATTTGTCATTTCCTTTGTAATATTCAAAACCATTTATTGAGATTCCATCAGATTCCATCATATTGTTCTGCCAGTGGTCTTATGAGTGTCATTGAACCATCCATGCACTTTAATGCAACACATAGCCTATATAGTAGGACTATAACATGTACTATTTGTTTGTCTTTTGAACACTATTTTATCAATTCTGAGGAAAAATAATTTTCAGTTAATTTCATTATATTTCAGGATGTGAACCCGCGTTCGTTTGGTATCTGGGTAGAGAAGCGGTGGAATACCCTCCCTCTGATCTAATCTCGAAAATGATAAGGAAGCTACCGACCATACGAGACACAATTCTTAAAGCCGAGCCTGCAACGCGTTCTTTTGAACAAGAGGCCAATCCTGATAACAGTAAGCATGCTGTAATTTTTTTTACAGTTCAAAGTATTTATATTGCACTTTCTTCACAAAGAATTCTATCTGTGTATTTCTTTGAATTTCTTACAAAGATTTTTGTTTAAACTGCTTCTCGTTATATTTCTGCATACTTTGCAAATACTGAATAACGGGTTCAACGCGAGTTCAATAATTTAGTAATAGAAGCTATATTAAACCTAAACGTGACTACATCACGTGCATGCACGGCTCGCTCTGATCTAGTCCTCAAATCGAATTTGTTCCACGGGTTCTGTTCTGTGCAGGACAAGAACCTCTCGATCCAGTTTCGATCTAAACGCAAGAATAGAGCGGTGACTAAAATGTTCCCTCCTCCAAACTGCCCACTGCAATAATGAGCATGACGCAAATGCTACACGCTGTTTGAAGGCATTATGGCTCACTGTGAGCCAGGTGCAAGGCCCGACAGCAAGCAGTGCGTGAATGCTGGCACTACGTAACGATAACATGCCTGTTTATTGATATTATTGACCTTGTTCGCGTGCGATTATCACGACTGTCAGTTTTGCAATCGAATTTGGTTCCTGGGTTTCGCAATCAAAACTGACACTCATGATAGCCGTTCACAAACAACTATGATTTTCATGTTATTTCTTGACTGCCTGAATGGCTGTTATGCCATCTATATTGAAAAGTAAATCGTGCTTGCATACTTGTAAAATGTCAAACAGCTTGTTGTCTTGCAAGCCCAAGGGCACCCAATCTATCGTGTAAATTAAAACACGTTTATAATATCGACGAATATCGGCGAATCCCAGGGAGCACAGTGGGCTATGTACCCCCTCCCCTTAGCTTTTACCACTCTTCTTCCCACATCAAAAGCAGTATAACAACCAAAATGAGACAAAACCAAGCAGTTGTTCCTTCCCTGTGCCCTATAAACCCCAGTAGAACATATAACAACTATATAATAGTTGCCGAGAGATGCGAGATTGAAAAAAAAACTTGCGCTCAAAGTGAAGAACCATCTCAAGTTATTTTGCAACAGCTGCTTTTTTTTTTTTACTTTATTTGATTACATATCTAGGTAAGTGGTCATTTTCATTTCAGATACCATGTGCTGGGTGGACCTGGAAAGATTGAGGGCATGGACGACCCTACAGAAACCCAGGTTCGTTGACAAACCTGGAAATAAGGCTGTTGATGTTCAGTATGGAGGGAAGATTACGTACGATCAAATATGGCATCTTTTTCAGATAGGTGAGCAATCGTAATCTATCGATGCGGAGAAGCCATACATATTCTGGCAACATCCGCGGGTACCTTCTGCATATTTTTCTTGACGTTAGGAAAACTGGCCATCCCCTATATTTCAAATCTTAAGTACATGTATTTTAGATATTACAGGACTGTTTCAACAATTATTGACTCCAACCATTTTGTAAAAATGTGACGAGCAAGAATCCAACCGACAGCTGGGCTGCGTAACTCACTGTCTTGGTCTTTTGAAAATTTTTTTGAAAGTTGATTAGGAAATCTAGAAATGCTGTTTATTTTGCTTCAAAAATTGTGTAGACGAACATGAAGTATGATTTTATTGAAAAAAAAGACGTTCAAAACATAAATAAGCAGGGGCAGTTACTGCAATAAAGCGCCAAGTCTTTGAAGTTCAATTTTGCCATAATAGATGGTGTGTGAAATTGGCACCGTTAAGTGTCCACTCAAAGCAGACTTGTCCCGCGTTCGTTCGTATTAGATAAAGTGTAACAGTTATTTGATCCCTCCAGGATAGCTGTATTTTACAGTAAAACTGACAAAGTTAGCTTCTCAAACGAATAGAGAGTGGGATTAGTTCACGTCACCAGAGATATGCAAAATTTAAAAAGTGATCTTTAGAGTAACGCCGCAACTTACATACCTAAATGTGTCTTTTCACATTTCATTTTATTTTGATTTTACTAGGATTGAGACTCAGAAACCGGTTTCCAAAGCTGCTTGCTTCATTCAACAGGACACTTTTCAACTTCAAAACCGCTGATGTGGAAAATATACGGGATAGTGGATTGGAAGTTGGGGCAGGCGTTTTTAATGTCACAGGTAGAATCTTACTTTCAATCGTAGTGTTTTTTCACGTAAATTTATGCGTTCCAGGAGAATAATTTTATTGAGTTAAGGCTTCAAAAACAGCGTTAAAAGATACACATGTAATCAACTTACTTTTTCCAGGTCTGTGGTTTGTAGAAAAGGATAGAAATCGGCGTAAATTTCTATCAAAAGTTCCCTTCGAAGCTGTGGGTCAGTCAGCTGATCACCTACTGTCTTATCACACCAGTTGTTACAAATATTTTAAGGTAAATACAAAAATATTGTATTTTTTATGATGTTCTCTGAAAACTTAATACGTGTCGCCTAAGTTTGCCTTTAAAGATAAGAATCAATTTTTACCGTTTTTAATTGATGGTTCGATTCTCTAACTATAATTCATGTACAGATTCTAAGTGGGTTAATGTCTGCTTAATTGCCATTTGTTCTTTGCATTTCGTTTAAATTTCAATTACGGAAGCGATTATGCAGATAAACACAGATATCCCATTTCCAACTGTTTAAGCCAAATCTGTTACGTTACTACTGAACTTGAGCAAGATTTGATTGTCAAGGCTTGCAATTAGTGTATATCTTATTTTTAGTTGATACATTGGACTAAATCGTTTTTCAACCCCTTGAGCGTAGCTGTAGGTCAAATCATGGCTAGATTAATTAATGAATGCTCCACCCTATTTCGTGCTAATGGTTACATATATATGGAATCGTGTCTCCAATCTTTTGTTAGACGTGTAATGCACTAATCAACCGAAATGTAGTCAATGTACCGTGTTCTACTGTCGTGATCTTTAGTTTATCCTAACACTGTCTGTCGCTATCTACTGGGTAGGCAAACTGATTATCGACTCCTATACAACGTCCAGTCAAGTTTAGTCGAGGATATTCAATTACAAATTGAGGCATCCAGACTGACGGTCTTTCTTGTCAATTTAAATAGAAAAAGCACCCATTTTCCATTAAGAGTGCCTGGGTGATAATTATAAGTTCATGTGGGAAATAAAAGAAACATCAATTTGCCCTTGCAAGTAAATACCTCCGAATAACACTACATACTCACACAGACATCCACAATTAAGTTGCTTTCTAGTAGTTTAGCTGTTAAACAAAGTATATTATGGCGTGCGTTATACTTTTTACAGCTGTAATTCCACCGCTAGCTAGCTCAGGGTATCGCTCATATAATTGTAAATGCTATCCCCTCTTTTTAAGCAATCAAGCTATGTACAACAGGAGGAGAAATTTATGAACAGTGTTCCCGTTCAAAGGATGATACAAGGTCTGAAAAAACGACTGGGACTGAAGCATTTATCGTTCGGTAATATCACTCTTCTTTTATGTATTTAATTATAAATGAAGACGGGGAATAAGATCTTTGAGTCACACATCATAACAACTGTAGTATATATACATATTTTTTGGAGGGGGATGGAGGGTGGCAAATCTTAAAATAAAGTTTTGTCGTCATTTTTAGAAAAAAACTAGGATAACTCGATTCAAATACATGGAATTAAAAACTGTAAATTGCAGGCATTGTGAACAATAATTGTAAATATTAAATATCATTTCAAAGGTGACGCAAGATTAGCATATGAAGCCTGTCGTAGTGAGGATGTGTTGTATGAGAAGGGGGGAGACTATGGGCCGTCTCCATGGTGTGCGATTTTTACCGAAGAAGACCTCAAGGTGATGGAATATATGGAGGATTTAGTAACGTACGCCAAAGTTGGCTATGGCAGAGCCATAAACCAACTGATGACTTGTGAATTAGTCGATGATTTGGTTACCTATGTGGAGTAAGTATACTTTGATCGAATCAAGTTGTGGCTTGTACCTGTTTTTTTTTTTTTTTTTTTTAGACTGAGATATTTTTATATCGAGTTCAGCAAAAATAATAAATAAAAAAATTAACAGCGCAATTGTGCACACCATAAATATAGATCTGTAACCAATTCCAAACTACACAAATATGGCACTCTAAGAAATGGTCATATTTGAGAAAATTAATCAACTAGTTTGGTAGTATTAAAAGATCTTCAAGACGCCAGCTTAATTCGCATTATAATCTTATTTCAGGCAAGTCAAAGAAGGAAAGATAAACATGAGTGGAGTATTCCGGTTTGCGTCAAAAGATGTGCTTCTGTCTTTCTTCACAGTAATGGGCCTTTTCAAGGACAAGTTGGCCCCGGTAGCTGGAAACTACGAGACGCAAAGAGATCGCAAATGGCGAACAAGCCTTATTGCTGGTTTTGCTTCCAACCTTCAGGCTGCCCTCTATACTTGTCCCATGGATCCCCAAACCAATAAAACAAAGGCATACGTTCAAATAATGGTTAATGAGAAGGAAAGATTGTTCCCAGGTTGTGATTCAGCTTTCTGTGATTATGATATTTTCTACAAAAAACTGAAGCCTTTTGCACAAGCTTGCGACTTTCAGAGGATATGTGGAGATATTGAAGTGTCTTGGAGAAGGAGCGCCGGTTTTTCTTTACATGCTTCTGCTCAAAATGCCATGTATTTGTTGATGGCTGTACTTACATATATCTGCATCTTCAAAAGCCATCAGGTTTAAGTCATCGAAAACAACTTAAAACTTCAACGGCCATTAATTAGTTTAACTTGTGGTCGGGTATGACTTTTCAATGGATGTCATAATTATGCAACATGCAAATAAAGACTGATGACATTAATATAGTGTTAAGGATTATGGACCTAGGTGCTAGCAACTAATGTTAAATGAAAACCCAAATATCGTTGAACGCCTACTACCACGTAAATGTTGGTCTTTCCTTATACACCAGTATTTAGATGTACTAATGGATTATTCAAGAGCATAAGCAAAAACACCTTTTTCATGATGATATTTTCCTCTTTAAAGAAAACATGAAACTGAGTGCCTTCTTCTGGTAAGCGCTCTTCTTAAAACCCTTATGATTGTCATCAGTATGTCAAGTGTTACGCTCGTGTGACATGGATTAAATTTGGTATTTCCTCAAAGAATAATTATGTTCTTTATAAAAATCTAATAACCTGTCTATTATAGTCACTAATGTTTAAGTCATTTATTGGTTATCAGAATGGCCACAAATTAAGTAGCTGATATGTCCATGTGCACCTGTCTATCATTAGTAGAGCTCTTTGAGATGCTTAATGCAGGTTTCGTAAAAATACTGTTGATTAATTTGGCCCATTTTGATTGGATGTTACCTAATTCAAGATTTACAATAATTTATTAAGATGAAAATGCTTGTTTCGAGCGTCGCCAATAGCATAATTCAAGTTTTTTTTTTCAAAATCGGTCAACTGTAAATAACATAACAATGTGCAAACAACATTGGCCATTTCCTCACAGCAGAAGGTGCGTGCAGCACTGACGTCACCGAAACCGCTTCTAGGTCATGTGGTCAGCCAATGTGGTGATGGGGCTACATATATAACAAACTCCCAGAAAGCTTGGTCAAATAATAGAGAAATTAACAAAAGAGGGGCATCTGCAGTGAGGTATTCCTGTTATTCGCCTTAGTCTTTCTCAACATCTTCAAACCGCCAAAGAAAAAAGTATTTACTTTTCTAGTAGTCGACAAACCATATTTGCAATGAAGGCGATGCGCTCGGTGAAAATGAGGCAGACAGAGTCGATAGTATTGATGTTGTTATTTTCCAAAGTGGTACTGATTGGTGCACACCCATTGCCATCAAATCCAGAACACTTTTACAATGGCATTCCTCAAGAAACGTTTCAAGTATTCCTTGCAGATGGAAGAAGACAAATAATTGAAACGGCAGACAAAACGGAGCAAGGTGGGTTTGGATCATTTTCTATTATTATTTTTTTTTTGTCATAACTCCGTTATGAATGTTATCTGCACGTGATCACTATACATTGAATGCGCAGAGATGGTGCAGTTGGCATTCAGGATAAGTTAAAGTAAACGCATTAACAATCCGTTTTCATGAAGTATTTCACGCGAATAATTCACACAACTACCAGTCTTGAAAAGCGCCGAAAATGCCGGATTGATGATAAAGAGGGCAAGATGCTCGTGGTTCTATGCTGATAAGGTTTAAGTACTTATAATTGGTCACTCCATCTTTTTAAAGCATTGTACGTTAGTGTGGTAGCTTTCGCAGATGTACTTTCAGTCATAGTGGTTAATGGGAACACATTAGAGAAAACGACAGAAGAATACCTATAAACATGTCACGAAAAAAACTGCAAACACCTATACATGGGTCACAATAATTGCCAAAATCGAATTAGCTCTTTTTTTTTTCATTTCCTGATTAAATGTTGAATCTTAACCCGCAGAGAATTGTTATTGAACAACTCTCCCCAACTGGGATAATCAAATGCCATGTTAAGGATACATGTAAGTCAAAGAAGCGTACGGTTTTTGTTTGCGAAGTGGGCGCTATTCGCATCTACATATTATTGAATTACTCATTTTACTTAGAAAAAGAAAGAAGCAACCCCACTAAACCACATAAAAACAGATAATGCATTTGATCAAAGTACAGCCCATATGTCGGTTGACTGCCAAGCATTTTATTTGGAAGTTTGTGTTATGTAAAACAACAACTTTCCAAATTTGATGAAGTGATAACGGCTCAATGTATTTATTACATACTTTTGAGGTAAAATGAAATACACTTAAGAATCATCTGAAATTCTCCCGCCTTCTCATAAACCTGATGACCATATCCTAATCAAAGGGCTATTTAAAAAGCTCATGCACATATAAAAACATGGCCCATATATAATGTATAGTACTGTACATATCTCTTGAAAGTGTTTCATAGTTTTATGAGACCCTAACGGTTCAAAGAACACGGAAATCCACTTTCTTTAACGGTGCTTTGATTTCAACTATATTTGCAGTAAAAACAGCGCCAGATTCCAAATTGATATCCTATTCTTAAGGCACTGGCCAATAGAGAATTACATCATGTAAATAACTGCAAACAGACACGAGTTTTGTGTCCTGTGATAGTGATGTGATTTCAGCGGCGGGTCTAGGACATCTGAAAAGAAGAAAAGCAGATTTTGCACCCCCCCCCCCCAATTAAAATAGTTTTATTAGCGCAGTACTTTTGAGAGCTCGGAACTGCCTCTTTGCTCCCCTGTTGGAGAAGACAAAGGGGGTGGATAGACAGACCATCATGTTTTGGAAAAAGGCGAGCTACATGTACCTATGGGTTTTTATCTATTTTATATGAATATATCGAATGACCAGTGATATGACATGAATTCGAAATGATACAATCGTTGATCATCAAATGCAAATCTGTTGGTCATGTTTTCAATGTAGAGCTCCTGTTACACTTGGCTTGCAGCCTCTTGCAGAACGTATTTTGGGTCATTCTCAAGGGTTGTAACACTGTAAGCAACGTGATAGCCATGACTGAGATTTATTGGGAAGGTTGTATTTCCTGTGTTGTAAACTTTATGGGCACAATACGGCTGAAAATATGCATATGTAGACACCCAACACTAACCTAAACTCTTTGAAACCTAATTGCTGGACAAATAACGCCCTATTCAAAGGTGGGGTTCTTCATTGTCATTAAGGCATTCATGTGTAAATTATCTTTATTCCAATAGTCCTTAGTAGTTTACAATATATCTTAGAGGTAGATTATTAGAATGTTTTAAAGCTACTAAAAACATAGCTTATTTTGTTTTTAATGATGGTTGCAGACAATTACCAAGGCCAGATACCAAGACCTGCTCCTCTCAAAGATCTCGTGTTTTCACGTGCACGGCGAATGTGGAACAAATCCAGAAGTGGCAACCAAAGCTCACGGTGTCGGCTGTGGCTCGAAGGCGGAGCAGCAGGATTTTTCAAAATTGGCTTCAAATTATGCGACCACTTACTAACTGTCTGAAATATTTTTTTCTTTTGTAAACTGCATCACAGTAGAAGACCTTGATACGTTAACTTTTTTATTATTATTACCAAACTTGCAACCTGAGGGTTGGATAATTACAATCATTGCATCATAGTTGAATAAAACCACTAGTGAGTAAGAATAAAGGAATATTAAAACACATATGTAAACAAATTTAAAACACAATAACTAAAATGCAAGGTTAAAAAAGAAATAAAAGTGTATCAGTTAATTTTGAACTTGTATATCTCACTTGTTATAAGTCACTCATTGATCGTTTGGTTTTAATTTCAGGTCTTTTGAATGTCTCCTGTTCCCTTAATGAATATGCCCTCCCTACAATACGATTAGGCAGAAATAAATGAAGACATTTTATTATACAAAGCCAAGTGTCTTTAAATTAATTAAATTACTATCACTTAACAATGTATCACAATTAAACAATTTGGGAAAATACCTGAAATGTGCATCGGAACTAAGATTAATGTCAATCTGGTTAATTATTATTATTATTATTATTATTATTATTATTATTGTTGTTGTTGTTTGTATCAGTAGTAGTTATTGTAGTCATGGTAGTTGATTAGATATAACTTTATATTGTCACTGTTTTATATTCTGATGAGCGGTAGGGCTTAAAGGTTTAATAAATTGAAATTGAAATTGAATTGACATTTTGTTTTGGTTGTAAAAGATAATGCAATCTATGATCCGGTTCATTTGATATACTAAAAAACAATTTTTTGCATGCATTGTACTTACCACCTCAGTCATTTCTAAAATGATTAAAAATGATAATCTCTTTATTAATTGTCTTTTAATTTTTCATATCTGTCAACGCCAGAATTAAATGTGATTTATACATTTCTTTGTATTTTCATTATACTCATCTTTCTACTTTGGTGGTTTAAAGGGATAACAACTGTTCATATAAGATTCGAAATTCCACAATAAATACATTGTGAGCCACATATACAATAACGTAATTAATAATATAAATAATAATGTAATATAATGTAATAAATATCATTTTACCTCCAAAACGGCGGTTATCGAGATTATTCTGAAATTTTGGTTTTCCAACGCCCCACGCGGACCTTCGTAGATGGCTAACCTCTGTAATTATCTCTTAAGACATTTAAAAAACAATCGCCTTAGTTTGAATGGATTCAATAACCATTGGTAAGTATGGGAACTTTACTCCAGGAAAACCCCTTTTACTCTTCCCGCCTAAACGAAGAGTTGTTATCCCTTTAAATACCGGTAGATAAAGAGCTACAGTTAAAAAATGATTGTTATCCCCTTGCAGCCGAAAGACGCTACGCAGTTTAGAATGGTAAGTAAGCCATACGGCGCGGTTATACCGCTATAATACACAGTGAGGATATCAACATATGGCCCATCATTCTTTTTACAGTCATTTGGATCCCGAAGCGCGGGTCCGGATTTATGTGTAAGCAGGCTCAGCACGCGTAATGATCCGCGGCTAATGGGCACCAAGCTACCAGAGTAAGAAATATAGAAAATAGAGAAAATTTGATAAACATTATATTTAGGCGGCAGAGAGAACAGAACAAAATATCGAAGGATATATGGGAAGCATAAAGCAATGGTATTTTAAATGTGCAAAGCATGCCTGCAACAAGTTACGTGTATAAGGGCTAAATGTCGAAGCATATACCTAAAGACACCATTTTCAGTAATTTGATTTTAAATTTCTGTCAACTGCTCTTGAATCAATTGAAAAAACAACAACAAAGTCGGGAGATGATGCGCTTAGTGCAGTAAATAATCAATAATTTGACATAACTGTTTCTTGCTGGGATGGCAATATTCATGTCAACACAACTGGAACTCTTTGACGCACCAAGCCACATCCTTGAAGGTGAGAAGGTGAAACCAATTCAATCCACAAGGAAACCAATTGAAGTAAAAATGATCATATGAAATGTGCTCCTTTCAGGCCCTGCCTCATCGGGAGTTTCTTTTGCACAAAATTTTTTTAATAACAGTTTTTTGAAATAATAAAAGCTCTATCTTAAAGAGCCGGTAGACAGCTGGTTCCGATCTTTATTTTAAGGCTTGAAATTTATTTTGTTTTCATCTAGGATATATCTGTAGTATCACTAAAATTATCTATCGTCTCAAGAAGACGGCAGCCGCAGCGGTCAAAACGGCAAGCAGACGACAGGACGACCGACTGGATATGGCGGTGTTACACAGGTCGCTAGTGCAGCATTCAATAGACGCCCCAATTGTCGCTGTTAGACAGACAGAGGAGCAGGACCGACTCGCAGAATTGCCATAAACCACTTTCTGGAAGTAAAAGTGTAAGTGGAATCAATATTGTCTAAAATTCTAATGCTCCAAGGACCTACCCTCTACCAGGGTGAGTGATAGATTTTTTACAGATATTCACAGATATGTCTCTAGCTAGATAGCTGGTCATTTTCAACTCAACTCAAGTTACTATATAAGTTACTATAAGTAACTGGCTCGCGCTGCCAGTAATTACGCCGCGGGATATTCAGGGCACAGACCGTGATCATAAGATACCGCGAATAGAAAATAGATTTTTAGAAAATAGACTTTCCATGTGAACGAAGCCTAAGTGCTCCACTTACAGCTATCCTAATATATATCAGGAACATAAATCAGACTGGGAAAACCTGCGGGGATTAATATATTAGCATTTGCACGGTGATAGAAGCATGTGCATTTTGCGAGTGAGATATGTGCAGGAATTTACCTTAAGATAAAATTGGATAGACATTGGATAGACATTATGCTTGCACGTGTGCTGTAGTTAACATGGTGTTTACACACATTGCATAAACTGCTGATAACACAGCTCTCCTGTTCTTAACGCAAAATTACCACTTCAAATGAGTGACCCAATTGGCATTTCATCTAAATGTACAAATATGTTCCTGTGTGTGAGAGAGAAATACATAACTATAAAAATGAATACACGAATAAATATACAAATTTATTAGTAAAAAGATTAAATACCGTGCACGATCCAGAACAAGTAGTCGTATTAGGCTTTGAGAATGTATTGAGCCAACTCCACTCCACGCCACATCTACTGTCCGTAGCGGAGGTACAGCTGTAACATTCAACAGCATCTGTCTCTGGAAGAGAAGAGACAATTTAAGAGCATTGGCAGTTGTGCTTTCATGAATATTTTCTTGGACGTACTGACACTGATTTACGATCATGAATTGACCCTTTTGCTGAGTGGGAATCATCAGAAACTCTTTTTCTCAGAGAGCACATTTTTTTATTTTATGGAAAATTTTTAACCATTTGCAGGGGAGTTATATGGGGCAATTACGTTATTTACATGGATACAATGTAGTTTTATAGTGTATTGTAGTCAATGTCATCCTATTGTATAGATAAAATTGTACTAAATATTGTGTAGTACATACAAACAGTACATATTTACTATACATGCTGGTGCATCGGCTACAATAAATATCTTATTCTCATTCACATTTCAAGCATGGCGCGAAAGGACCTTGGGCAGACATTTCAAATTATTCAAAGTACACTGGTCAGCGTGACGTAAATAAACAAGAATTTCAGGGGGAAAAATCATGGCTGTAATTGTGCTGAATTTTAAATAAAGACCACAACGTTCACACCGGAGTCAGTATTTACAGTGGATATTGGATCTGGAAGTGACATTGGGAAAAGATCCAATTTGACTCGGAAGTCCTCACGATAGACTGATTATTCAAAATAAATATGAAGCAGGTACTATTTCAGATCCTCAGTTCGTTCCCATTTGACATAGAAATAGAAATGTTTTAATGGATAATAAAAAACTGTCAAACCAACAAATACTGGCTAAGATAAAATATTAATATAAAAAATATCATGTCAACCATGATTCTTTTATGAAATTTATCGAAATTGTGTGAAAGGAGAATTTACAGAATCTCCCATTCTCTTGGTTATTCAAGTTATTTACCAAGCCAAAGTGGACTTCCGATTTTTATAACTGAACTGTAATTTAATTCTAAAAATAAAGCAGTGCGCTTATAAACATACTTTTACGACAATTTTATTTGTCATACTTTTTACCTTCAGTTGTTTGCAGAGAAACAATTCATCGTCGGTTCAACCGTAGATTATAAGGTTTTTACCTGTAACTCCTTAATGTTTTGCTATCCTATCCTATTTTACAATATTTACCTGGAATGGACATCAGCACAACTCCCAGTAACAAAGACAATATAACACATGTAGACTTGTCCATGGTAAAAGCGTATGTTGGGGAAATGTACTCGGTAATTTTATCTGTGTTGTTCAAACCGGCGTCTGATATATTTCCCTGGTTACCAACAACAGAGTCAAAGTATTACGTGATAGGTCCATTTTATGCCGGCTAATAATTTGTGCAAGGTCTTATCATTCGGTCCGTGGTACACAGGATACTTGACTGACTGAGGGGAACCTTGGCAATATCGCAGTAACCAAACAAACACGTAGACCTACCTTTATGGTGATAGGCGACAGTTTACACCCCCTCTCTTTATATATATATATATTTTATATATATGCACACACACACACACACACACACACACAGAGAGAGAGAGAGAGAGAGAGAGAGAGAGCGAGCATTTCAAGAGCACAAATTAATAATCTGTCGTGTTGGTCAGAGAGTTACGCATCTTGCAGGCCCCTTTATTCATCTCCTTGCAAGACGTGATGCGAACAATTCATTTTCATTTGGACAACAATTACAATTTAAAATAAAATTGTTGTCCAAATGAAAATAACTCGATATGTTCATTACCCGACTCGGGAACCTGCCTACGCGTCTGGTGACCTCCACGCTGAGTTCACTTTATAGCAAAAAAAAAAAGATTTTCTTGGAAATGTCAACACTTTCTTCAATCACCAAGGTAAACCATTTCCAAAACTGTCCACAGAATTAAGATTCATATATTTTTTTAATGAGTTCTGTGTTACAAGATTTTGAGTAATTCTCGTAGATGAATACTGGCAAACTCGAGGAGATCGTAACTTTCCCAAAGGATTAGATAGGCTAAAACTTGCTGAAATTTCCAGTGGTATTATCATTATTATAAGGCGCAGTGTTTGACTTTAATGATGCGGACTGTAGTGGTGGCAAGAACGTGGCTATCTTCTTAACCGATCAAGATATACCAACATGTTGCTTATCAATAAAAAAAAACTTATTTTAACAGCGCTATATATCCTTATGTAACTATTACGTTATGAAAAAAGGATATGAAATGAAAAGCTGCTGAAATAAACTTTTATTGATATGCAACATGTTGCCATAACTGGGTCGATTAAGAAGATAGCTACGTTCCTGCCACCTCACCCTCATCCACATCCAAGTCTGAGCGATTGCTTACGAATATTAAGATAGGAGGTTTTTGATAACTCCTCCTCGGTTTGTACAGATAAAAAAGTTCACATTGCTTTCGACACTGGGGAAACAATTTACTTCGTTTGAATTTCATCATCTGGTGCTTTCATTTTATTCAAGAATTTTTCTTAGAATGTGTTGTTGAAAACATCTTCGAGTTTTTCTTTGTAAGATTAAAGTGCAATGTCTTAAAAGCATGTTAACATTTAATTTGAATCGATTCGTTGTTGTTGTTGCAGTCAACAGTCAATATTTGTCGACGGCTGGCTAATTCAATAAGAACAATCAAACTGACGTGATTATATGCTTTCATCTTTGTTATCAATTCTCTTTTTCACCCCAAGAAATTATTGTGGGGAANGTTAACGTGCTCTTAAATAATGAATAAGTATCCAGTTTGCTGCTCTTACATATGTCACTGTGCCATATTTGGCCAGCATTATCTACTAATCTTTCTCTGAAAACTTTAAGAAATAAAACAGAATTTCCCACACCCTGAGCCTCCCAGACATATCCAAAGCCATATCTATATAACAACATTTTAACATCTGTGGCCCAAGTGTGCCTTCCACTTGAATCTAATTTAAATAGCATATCATATACATGAGCAGAATAACGATCTTCATTCATATGTACAAGTTTTAACCAATATTTTATGCTATTTACCATATAATTGGTATACAATGGATATCTTCCGCATTCGCCTAGTACAGCTTCCGTCACAGTATTTGAACTAACACCTAATAAATATCTACAAAATTTTGCTTGGAAGATTTCAATACTTTCTACTGGTTTATAACCCCATATCTCAGCACCATAGAAAAGAATGGGTGTTATCATTCTATCAAAGAGAAAGAAAGCTTCCTTAAAGGAAATACATGCTTGTTTTTTCAAATATAACTTAACAACAAATAATGCTTTATTGGCTTGATTGATTTGATGTTGGATAGTTTTACCCCAACCGAGGAAGGCACCAAAATATGTTCCTAAGTATTTGTATGCAGGTACTGCTTCTAAATTTTTGCCCTTGAAAAACCACCTTTCATTTTTCTTTATTTTACCACCTCTCCTAAATACTACTATTTTTGTCTTTTGGACATTTACTAGCATACCATACTGACTGCAATATTTTTCTAATTGATGAATTTGTTTCTGTAACCCCCCAACAGTGTCTGAGATGCAAACAATGTCATCAGCATAGAGCAAAGACATGAGATTTGGAAACACCTCATTTATGTAAATACCCTGACATCCAGCTTTGTTCAAACCATGATAAAATTCATTTATGAATAATGTAAATAGAAAAGGACTTAGCATGCATCCTTGTCGAGTGCCCATGTTACATTTAAAATACTCAGTAAGACCTAAATTTGTTAGAACACATGATTGCAGTTGGGAATACATAGAGCGTAAAACTGTGACGACATGTCCATTTACACGATTTTTTTGCAAGTACATACCATAATAATTTATGTTGAACACTATCAAAAGCGGCTGAGAAATCTATAAAAATACAGTAACATCTGCCTTTACTTCGACTTAAGTATTTTTGTACGCAACCCTGCAATGTAAAAATGTGATCGACAGTGGAGTAACCAATTTTATAGGCAGCCTGAGCTTCAATCAATGTATTATTTTCCACTGCCCAATTATTAAACCTGTTACTCAAAATTTTCATGAATATTTTTCCCATGACATTCAAAAGGGCAATTCCTCTATAATTTGTTGCCACATTTACATTTCCTTTTTTGAGCAATGGGTACAGAATGGCATTGCACCAGCTAGAGGGAAATTTTCCACTTGTTAATACAGTGTTATAAAGATTTAATAACAGTGGTGATAAATGGTTGAAGGCATATTTAAACATTTCAATCACTAATCCATCTGGACCTGGAGATTTTCCATTTTTCATGGTGCGTACAACATTTGATAGTTCATCCATGGTGAATGGCTCATTTAGAGTATTGCAACTGTTTAAAGGCTGTATGTGCTCAAACCATTCACTATACTGTTCGATATATGTTATGAAGCTCTTTTCTGTGTCATTTACATTTTCATTTAATAACTTATAAAAATGATTTTGCCATGCTTGTGGGCTGATATTATTCTTTTTAATAGACTGAGCACTTTTCAGAGACTTTATATAATTCCACATTTCCTTTGTGGTTTTTAAAGCGTGCAATTTCTCGACTTCTTTTGCAGTGTAAGAATTTTTCTTGGTTTCACAGAGTGCCTTAAACTTACTCTTACATTCCTTATATTTTTTAAAATCATTTTGATTATTTGACTTCCTGAAATCATTGAGACATTTGAATTTAAGTTGTTTTAATAGATCACATTCCTGGTCCCACCACCTAGGTTGATTTCTTTGAACTTTGCTTTCCCTGGATAAAAAGACAGTACCTGACCGTTGTAGTAGACCTTCTAACATTTGTTCAGCATTGTTCACATCATTCATATGCAATAAGTAATTGAAGTGGCCTAAACTAAAAATATTATCATTTTGTAAATTATCAAAAAAACTATTCGCTTTTTTGTTGTTCCATTTGTACAGTTTGCGCTTGCATGTGCTGATTTCATTTTCGGGTTCATTTGAAACATCCCTGCACTGTATTTGACATGAAATGGGGAAATGATCTGATATATCTAAAGGTAGAACCTCAAATGTATCTACACGCATGAAAAGGTCTGTATGTAACAAAATATAATCAACAACACTGCAGCCATTGTACTTTTGACATGTGAATTCACCTCCCATATCTGGTGCAATGCGGCCGTTTAACATGTGCATATTTTGACCTATACATAGCTCTATCAAAGATCTTCCAAAATTATTTTCAGTGATGTCCTTTGAAACCCGTGGTATACAAAAATCATCCCCGTCATAAATTCCCTCAAGGTCAAGATGTTGTAAGCTGTCATCACAATAATCTGGCAAATTACCAGTTCGTGCATTTAAGTCCCCCATTAAGAATAGCTTTAAGTTCCCATACTTTGTGAAAATTTCGAGTAGTACATTTTCTAACCTTTGAATACCATTTGTTTCATTTAAAGTGGTATACAGCACTGATCCCTCTGGAGCAATATATAGACAACCTAGTAAAATATCTAAATCACTATTGAAAAAGTTCCCATCCAAAATTAGAAAAACCATATCGGTATAGGTATTTATAACATTTTTAACTAACTTAAGCAAGTGATTTTTGATAAAAATACACACTCCTCCTTTTCTTGTTAAGACCCTGGGTTTGTCAAAAGAGGTGTGCAAATCTGAAATTGTCCTGAATTCACCATCATGTTCTGCGAAAGTTTCTGTGACTCCTAAAATGTCTGATTTTTGTAGTAATTTACAGAAATCAGGGTGATTAATTTTCGATTTAAGTCCATTTGCATTATAACATGTGATATATAACTTGGTTGTTTCACTGTCTACAACTACACTTTCGATGCACGGAGCACATGGAGTGGTTTTATCCACTTGTCCCTTCCTGTTGTCACATACTGTCATTGGACCTTGGCCACATCCCTAAGGGGCTACATGGTCTTGCTGCCACTCTTGAAAGTAATTTGTTGCTTCTTGATCCATGCTTTGCTGGGAGCCCCTTACGTTAGGTGTTTCCCTGTTTGGTGGGGTTTGCTGCCCTGGTCTGTCAGAGGGATACTGCCGAATAACCTCTGTAGGGTCACAATCTGGGCTCCTGTACAATTCACCATTCACATAAAGTCTATCTCTCACCATGCGTGTATAGTTTCCATTTTGCCTCTCCTGTTTCATTATCGGATATAGCAACCTTCTCCTGCTTTCGATTTCCGGCGGGTATTGCTCTCGGATGCCAAAAGCAGAGCCTCTTAACTTGTAAGCTTGTGATTTCACCAACTCTTTGTCTGTGTTGTGTATAAATCTTGCTACTATTGGTCTGTCTTGGCCTCTCTGATGTCTTCCGAATCTGTGAACATTCCCAAATTTTATATTCTTTTCTATACCCAATTCATAATACAGGAATTGACATAGTTTATCTTCGGTGTCTTCAGACCTTGATTCATTTTTCAGGCCAGTAAATACCAAGTTTGACTGCATGGACCT